CCGAGCCTGAGGTAAGCAGCATGGCCTTTCTCTGCTACAGATGCTGGGTTAGATCAGCATGTATGCTCTCCTCAAAGACGTGGGGGTTCTGTGTATCTTAGTCCTTTCAGGCTGCTATAACAATAATGCCATAAACTGGGCACCTTCACAAACAACAGACATTTGTTTCTTATAGTTCTGGAGGCTGGAAAGTCTGAGATCAATATGCTAGCAGATCCGGTGTCTGGTGAGGGACCGTTTTGTCATAGGTGGTGGCCCTCTCCCTATAATCTCCCTTGGCAGAAGGGACGAGGGAGTTTTATTAGTGCTCTTTATAAGGGAACTAATCCCATTCATGAGGGCTCCACCCTCATGACCTCACCACCTCCCAAAGGCCCTGCCTCTTAATACCGTTACATTGCAGGTGAGATTTCAGCATTGAAATTTGGGGGAACATGAGCATTCAGTCCATAGCACTATGTGACAAATCCTTATACATTTTAGGTAAAAGTTGGTCCAATCATCTGAGTTTAGGGGAATCTTTTCATCACAGAGGAAGCTCAACTTCCTCTGCCATGAGAGACTACTCCACGAACATCCCTGGCACCAAGCCACCAAGCCCCAGCCGAGGGGACCCGCCGTGGAGACCTCACCCCTCCGCTCTCAGCCAGCTCGACCTGGGCACATAGTACCTTCCTCTGGCTGAACACATCTGTTCCTCTTTCCTGTGTTCTGACCTTCATTCTTCCCTGTGATGCTACACAAAACAAATCTATCCCCCCGCTTTTCTATCAAAGACTTTTCCTCTACAAATTACGTGGCCTCAGTTCACCCATTTCTCTCATCACATGCCTTGGACTTCCTGTTTCTTTCTCCAACCATCACCCATTTTTAAAGGAATTCACCCAGTTTTAGTGCCAATTTATACGTGTATATAGTCCTATACACATACATACACATGAGTAACTTTTAAATCAAAATCACTTTCCCTAACAACATTTAACCCTGGTTTCATCTTTTCACACTGGGTCACATGTAGGTCATTCTCTCTTCCTCACCTTGTCACACAGTCTGTCCCAGACCTCTGCCACCGCCTTCCATCTGTGCTCATTGGCCACAGCAGCCAAAGATCTGAATGGCAAAATGCTGCCTTCAAATGCAAAATGGGGAGGCAGTGAGGGATGGAGCAACGTGTTTATCATTCATTCATTCGTTCGTTCGTTCGTTTGTTCATTTCACACACATTTACTTGTTGAAAGCAATGTGGCAAGATTTGGTACCATATAGTTCAAATATATTAAACACTCAGTTCCAATGTTTTGGGACACAGAGTAGCATTTTATCACTTCTGGAAAACAGCTGTTATTTAGGACATAACGTTAGTAGTTACTTGCTCCCGGGAGTCTCAGCTGGGAATAGCTGTACCGCCACATAGGAGATTCGGCTGTCTGCAGACAGTTTTGATTGTCACCATAGAGACTGCCACTGCCACCTGGTGGGCGGAGGCCAGCAATGCTGCTAAGGATCCTACGATTCCGGGGTCCTTGACCCCTGGGCCGTGGACTGGTCCACAGGAACCGGGCCACACGGCAGGAGGCGAGCAGCAGGCGGGCAAGCGAGCAAAGCTTCACTCACAATACTGCGTGAGCGCTGCCTCCTGTCTCCGCCCCAACCACCCCATCTGTGGAAACATTGTCAGAAAGCTGGGGACCGCTGCCAAGACAGCCCCCACAGCGAAGAATTATCCAGCCTCCGCTGTCAATAGTGCTGAGACAGAAATCTCAATTTGCACCGAAGCTTTCCTCATTTTTTTCTATTTCAGCTTCTATAAGATTTTGCTTCACGCTTGCTTTGTCAAAATTATCATATTTAAAGTGTGCTATTTTAGCCTTTTTAAGTGAATTATGCCCTATTTTCTAATGAAACAATTTGTCATATTGCAATGTCATCTTACACACAAATAGTATCACTTCTTCTTAAAAAACTAAAAATAGGCTATTTTGAGGTACTTGGTTCTTACTTCATTGGAACAGATGTGTTCTACAATGAGCATGTTTCGAATTCAGTAGTTTGTGTACAGGTGTAATTATGTCCATTGTGTATACATTATGCAATGAACACTTATATGCATCAAAGCCTACTGACTGTTATTTAAAAGCAAATGTGTGTATGTCACATTTCTATCATGTTAGACAAATATTGATGTTCTTTAAATGTTGTTTATTGAGCCCACTCTGTGTGGGCACTGGTCTAGGAATGGGCGTATAGTGCTGGACAAGACAGACTTCACTCCCCTCATGCAGCTTACAATCTAGAAAGGGAGACAGCTAGGGCTTGAATAAAACAATGACTCAATGGGCAGTTTCAGTTAGTGACATGCTGGTAAGTGCTGAGTAGAAAACACATACACACATGTATGGGAATCAGGTAGAGAGTGATGGGGCGTGGCAGCGCTGGGCAGGATGGTCAGGGACAGCTTTTCTGATCGCCTGGGTCAGATGAAACGCATCATGAAAACATGTGAACAAGGCAGCCGCCACATTGGGTGACAGACTCCCACTCAACAGGCCCTCGGAGCTTGGAGAGCCATCGCCATTTCTCCTTGCCCTGGGTCTTGTGAGAGTTTTACTCAATGAGACCTAGTGGACGTTTGCCACCAACCCAGGGAGTGGCAGAGTTTGAATAAAGAGTCAGGGGACCTTCGGGGGACCCGCAAGGCAGAGCTGAAGGTGGTGGGAGAGACTGAAAGCCCAGATAGCAGTTGGGGGCGGGGGAGGCTGACACAGAGCAAGTGAGACGTGACGAGAGCCTGACCGACCTGGGCCCATCCCGCAGGAAAGGACAGGGGTGAAGTTCATTAGTGGGGCGTGTGGTTGGAAGGGGGTGGCACGGCCAATGGCAGTTTCTGGTTGGATGCAAGGCAAATACTGGTTTTATTTCGGACATTCCTGCAGATTCCCTGGGGGAAACTAACCCGGCATTACCTCCCCAGGTTAGAGGATGTCCATGGGTGCCCCTACGACTCCCTCGAAGTGTTCGACGGGCCGCACGGTGCCTCCCTCTCCATGGGCAGGTTTTGCGCTGGGACAGAGCTCAGCTTCCTCTCCTCTTCGAACATCATGACCGTGGTGTTCAGAAGCGACGCCATGGTCACCAACACAGGGTTTTATGCTCTGTACAAGGCCACCCAGCCAGACGAAAGGGAGGGTGGTAGGTATCCTCAAGCGTACCTTGCAGGGACTGCATCTGATTTGTGTCCTTTCCCTGGAAGAGAAGGGATGCTTCCCCAATCCGGCCTGCGGAGTCCACCTTCATTAATGGCGGCCTGAGGGACATCCCCTCCGACACCAACAGCCCCCAGCCCCTCCCCCACCCAGCTCTGATGCTCACCGTCGTTTTCCTTCACCAAAACATCGTCTGGACAAGCGGGGGGCTGAACCCCCCTGGGCCTGGCTGTGAGTGCACGTGGGGACCCAACGAGCGCCTCGCTCCCCTCCGAGGGAAGGGAGCGTGCAGTCGGCGAGGCCTCTGGAGCAAAACTGTGTCCAGCTGCAATGGCCCACCCACCTGCCTCCAGCCGAACTCAATACAAAAACACTTACGTGGCGGGACAGGGGGACATTTGGGAGCTCTCAGTGGGTTATGCTTAGGGCGACCGTGTAAGCTATCCTCCAATCAGCATACTTTTGAGAATTTTAAAGGGACTCTAAAGTAAGGAACAGACATTCATGGATCTACAACAGCCGTAAGTCAGGACTATTCCAGGCAAATGAGGACATGGGGCCACCCTTGCTAGAATCCAACAGCAAATATGGGGACATGTGCCCAAGTGCTGGGCATTCTCTATCTGAAGAAGGTGCTAGAGTCTGGGGACAGCACCACGGCTCAGAGCCTGCTTTTCTGTCCCCCCAGGCGTGTCCCTGCGACTGGCGAACGGCAGTCACAGGTGTGAGGGCCGGGTGGAGGTCTTCTACGATGGCACCTGGGGCACCGTGTGCGATGACAGCTGGGACCTGAGGGACGCCAGCGTGGTGTGCCGGCAGCTGGGCTGTGGCAAGGCCTTGTCAGCCCCGGCTCAGAGCTTCTTCGACAGAGGGACCGGCCACATCGCGCTGGACGACGTGCAGTGCGCAGGCGATGAAGCCCAGGTGCAGCAGTGCATGCACAACGGGTGGTTCTCCCACAACTGCGGGCACCATGAGGACGCCGGTGCCGTCTGCTCAGGTGAGCCCCGTGGGACACGGCATACCTCGGAGTGCCACCCAACAGCAGCCTCCGGGAAGGGAGAAGTCAATGCCAGCAGGCAGTTGCTCAGAACAGAGCACTGGGCTTCAAGCCATCTTTTTAAGTTGACTTGCTTAAGCATTCATTTTCTTTCCCTTCAGTTGTTGTATCTGTAAAATTGTCAAGGTTTCCACCATGAAGATTGTAGTGATCAGTAGAGGGTGTGAGGCATCAGACACCCCAGTCCCAGATACACATGCCATGGTGTTGGTGCCGCTCCACTCTCTCCCGAGTAGGAGTAGTAGCTGGCATCTGAAGAGCACCTAGCGCCTGCCAGGCTCTGCGCCAAAACTAGTGCATGCTCTTGGTTCATCTCCACGACCTCCCGTGAAGCAGAGACCACTAGCATCCTTGTTTCATGAATCAGGCAGCTGAGGCATCACCGAGGCCCCATGGCAGGCCGTGCTCTGTAAGTGTGGCCTCCAAGGAGCCCTGGGAAAGAATGAGCTCAGCTCCGTTACCAAGGCGCCTTCATCCCCGCCAGCGAGCGCAGGGAAAGAAATAAGAGTTTCCCGTTTTAGTGCTCCCAGCAGCTAGATGAGCCCTCGTGAGTCTGAAAGCCAGTGGGCGCGGACATGGGTGGCCAGCCTGGAGCCAACATGGATGGTTTCTGATACTACACTCACAACTGCCCAAGGGAGAATGTGCTCGATCCTAAAAAGAAGTGCCTGATTTTCTTTTATCAAGGATGTGACTGTCCTAATGCATCTGTCCATGTCTGTCCTGTCTTTGCGTAGGTGTCGATGACAATCCTGAGGCAGGACCCACAGGTACTGCCCTTCTGTTCACTTCATCCCATTGCCGGTCCCCTGATACATGCAAATTCTAGCTACTCTTCATCTTGACGTTGGGGCCCGAGTGACTTAAAGTTTCTGCTGCTAATTAATAAGAGCAACTCAGCTCATTCTCATTGACGTAATGGTGGGGCTGGGAGCACAGCAGGTAGGCAGATGGGCAGGAGCAAGGGAGAGTTCAGATTCACCAGAAATGCCGTTTCTGAGCCAGTGGGGCTCCCAGTCGGTGCCTGCAGGGGGCGGAGCTAAGGGCCTGCAGTGACAGTCGCACTCTGGACGCTGCCGAGAGTGGGCATATAACAGACACCCAGGCTCAGCCCTCAACGAGCTGCAGTGAGCTCCACCCATCTGCGCCCCTGGTGTGCAAACGTCCAAACTCATGAACAGCCAGGGTCCCCTCTGTCCACGGGGGCGTGGAGAAATCACAGCTCCGAGTGTCAATATTTTTGAGTGTCTCAAAGGAGCATTTATTCTGGATAAAAGACCTTACTCACAGTGTCATTTTCCTCTGTATTTTCAGGCTCCACAGGTGAGAGCCCCCCTTCAGGTACTTCAGCTTCATTTAAACCCTGCACGTGGTTTCTGTGTGCTTTGCCTTCGATGTCAGCACTTCCAGCAACTCGATGGGTACCCTTTCCTCCTTTTACAAGTGAGACGCTGCAGGGAAGAGGGGCTTTTAACAAATTCCACCCCGATTCCACTGTTTCAGTCATGAGGTGGATGCTCTAAGTAATCTTGGTCCTGAGCTCACTGGGATTTGCATGTAACGTGAGGGATCGTCTGCTACAAGCTCTTTCAGAACAGCTCGCGCTCAGGAGGGCGCTGCGCTCGCATAGCCTTTGCATCCTTTGCACGAACACACCTGCAGACCTATCTGTGCGTGTGGGTTCCTAAAGCCCTTTCAACCCTGTGTCACCATCATTTCTTCTCAGAGAAGCCCTGTCACTTGACAGGATGCCACAGTGATCTCAACTAAAAGGGCAGCATGGCAAACTCCTCGGGCTCTCCAAAGCTTAATTTTTGGTGACCAGCCAAAGCAGCCCTAGAACCAGCTCTGACCCCGGCCCTCACTCTGTCCCCTCTTGACCCCTCAAAAAACACCAGCGGAAGTCAGCGCCCCTCCCGATGGGGTTTCGTCACTGTTTCTTACAGATGAGAATTTCCACTGTGGCGGTTTGCTCACAAATGCTTCCGGCTCCTTCTCCAGCCCTTGGTACCCTAAAAACTACCCCACAAACGTGACATGCACCTGGGACATACAGGTGGACGTCCGGGCTCGTGTCAAACTTACATTTGATGTGGTGGCGTGAGTAAAATCCTTGTATTTTTTAGTTTCCTCTTTGTAGGGTGTTCTGGCCCATACCCACCTACGTATCGTCCCTCCCCCAAAAACAACAACTTCCATATTTAGTTCTCAAAGGCGATGTAAGCCTTGGAGGCCATTTAGTAACAGTGATCAGAATCTGACTGTGCAGACCTTTTGACCCAGCGGTTCCAGTTCCAGGAATTTGGTCCACAGGTGAAGTCGCCTGGCAGGGAGAGCTGGCACGCGGGCATCTCACAGGAGCAATAGATTGGAAATGACCTGACTGCCCATCAGTCGGAGGTGTTAACTAGACTTTGGCGCGTGCAGGCACTGCAGCCACAGGGCGGGGGAGGGGCGCAGCGCTGTGGCTCGGCCTGCGGGAAAGCAGAGGTACCAGCGCATGGCTGCCACCCGTGCACGGGCTGTCTAGGAAAGGAAAGCGAACCCGCTCACCGCAGCTGCTTCTGGGAAGGGGAATAAAGTGAGAGGGGCACCGGTCAGGGGGTGGAAGAAAAACTTCCTTTCACCAAAATACCTGTCGATATTACTTGAATTATCTTCCTTGCACTTGTAATAAACGTTCACAAAGTACAATTGAATGAAAACATTAAACGCTAACATGTTTTCAGAACAGAAAAGTATATACTGCCTACACCCACAGGGTCTTCATTTCCTCCAATCTGTGTGAAGAGATGTAGGTTTCAGACAGCTTTTCCAGAACCTTCCCTGAACCAATCTGAGTAGCGCTGACTGTGGGACAAGGCCCAGTGGTTTGAGATGGAGCAATATCATTACTTCACAGGCTAGAAAATATCTATGGCTGTCCGTATGACTTCGTTGAAATCTTTGATGGCCCATGGAACGAATCTTTCTCCCTGGGGAGGTTCTGTTCCAGTGCGGCCCCAGTACTTACCTCCTCCTCAAATCGCATGACAGTGGTCTTCCACAGCCACGCTATCACCACCAGCAGCAGCTTTCATGCCACCTATGAGTCCCTCATGCAAGATGAGAACGATACTGGTAGGTTCTTGGGTTGCCTTAGCCCCTGGCCGTGCGGGGTAGTGATGGCGAGATTGGACAGCCAACTTTGTGCCTGGGGACTAGGGATGGGAAAGGGGTTCCCTTACTCCTTAGTTTGTCCCCAAGGTCTGCCTGGAGGAGGTGGCCGAGCACCCAGCACTGCCCTGGAGCCACTCTCTCCCGCATTCCGCTGCCAGAGCGCGCACTCTGTGCCAAGAAAGGAAGCTGGGCTCACGCTGGCTTTGAGCCCGCTTCACTCCAAATGCGGGTGGGTTCCTCCCCTCCCGCCCGGAGGACGCTGCTCCTGACTGAGGGCAGGAGCACTGAGCGTTCGCGTCCCTGGGGTCCCACTTCACGCAGGGCCTCTGGGGGTCTCTTTGGCCTCTGCTGAGCAGACAGTCCTGTCTGGGGAAAAAGCTTTAAAGACAAAAAAATCACACGGACATAAACGATCACACCTGAACTGCCGTGGCAGCCACTCCAACCCACCGCAGTTCCCGAGAGCAGAGCCCCTGCCGGAGCCAGTCCGCTCAGAGGAAACGCAGGGTCTCCCTTGAAGGTAGTGAGTAGGGGGTAGTGCCCACTGCGGTGGCCGGTGTGTCTGTGTTTCCAGATGTGGCCCTGAGGCTGACCAATGGCAGTCACCGGTGCGAGGGCCGCGTCGAGCTGCGCTACAATGGAACCTGGGGGACCGTGTGTGACGGCGGCTGGGACCTGCTTGACGCCCAGGTGGTGTGCAGGCAGCTGGCCTGTGGCAGGGCCGTGTCAGCCCCCGGGGGCGCGCATTTCGGCCGAGGCCAGGGCCCCATTGCTTTGGACAACGTGGAGTGCGTGGGGACTGAGGACAAACTGTGGCAATGCCTGCACGGTGGCTGGCTCTCCCACAACTGCGGCCACCTGGAAGACGCCGGTGTCATCTGCTCCGGTGAGTTGATTCTCAGGCAGGGGGTGGGTGAAATGAGCTGGACTGTCCCTCGGCCACCATTTCCCACGCGCCAGCCATACAGATGTCCCTGCACGACCCCCGCCACACCCACTGACCACCCATACTTTTAATTTTCTCAGAATTTTCCTTTACATGAACTCTTCTTTCCTCACTTAAATGAATTCATTTCACAAACACTTTATATCAGCGCCAGAAACAGAGAGCGAGGGTTGCTTGCCACAAATAGTACATAAAAATAAATGCAGCAGAAATAAAACAATGTTAAAGCATTTAAATATTAAAGTACAGCCCTGGCTGGTGTGGCTCAGTTGGTTGGAATGTCGTCCTGTAAACCGAAAGGTCACAGTTTCAATTCCCATTCAGGGCACATGCCTGGGTTGTGGGTTCCATCCCTGGTTGGGCATGTATAAGAGGCAACCAATTGATGTTCATCTCTCACATCAATGTTTCTCTCCCTCTCTCTCTCCCCCTTCCCCTCTCTCTAAAATAAATAAGCATGTCCTTGGGTGAGGATAAAAAAAGTTTCAATTAAAATACAGTACACTATCTTATCTAATCAATCCATATCATGTGTATCTGTAAATATGCTTAATTAGAATAAATTGAATGTGAGTTTTTAACTTTTAATGCACTAAATATGTAACTCTTAAAATAGAAAACGTACCACCTCAAGCTACCTCGCACCCACTGGTCAGGAGCCAGGCCTCTGGGCACTGCTCCTTCGGTTCAACCCCCTGAGCCCAGTCGAGTGTCTGCAGAAGAGTCAGTAGTTGGGACCGAAAGCCGCCTCTATCCCCACATCCTGCGAGGTTTGGCCAGGACAAGGCAAATGGGCTTATTGCACACCTGGCCACCATGAGAGGAGGGAGGGCAAGCAGGGGATGGGCTACTGGAAGGTTCTGAGAGGAGAGGAGAGAAGTGAAGGCACAGAATCAGTGTTCTGAGCAAAGCAGGAGCTGAAACCGTGCCGAGTGTGACATCATGCCAATGTGTGTCACGCCGAGTGTGACATCAGAAGGCAGGGCTGGGGGCCTAGAGCGCAGGGAGGTTTGGAGCCAGGGCCCAGGGCAGAGTGATGGGTGGTGGGTCGGGGTGTGGGAAAGGTCCCAGCACAGCAGCTCCCAGCCCAGCTCCGCCCACTCCCTTCGGCTTCCCCCACTCCCGGTGCTGAAGGTGCCCTTGTAAGTCTTTGAGACAACATGGTTCTGCCCTTGGAAAACCAGTGTTCACTCTGGGAGACAAGACATGCACACCCAGGAAGAATTGCAAAACCAAAGCCACTGGCAAGATAGGTGCTGCTCACTAGAGGACTGTGACTGCGGCCATAGTTGGCCAAAAAAAAAGGAAAAAAAATCACAAAATAACATTGCAGTGTCCAGTGGCAGAACAGAAACGAAAGCAGTGCCCTCTGGTGGTTGTAACCATGGTAACTTGGGGCCATTCTCAGATCCCCAGACTGGGTGCAGTTTCTCCTCACACAAGACATGGACCTTTCTGGTTCAACAGGCAAGTTGGCCTCTCGGGTGCAAGAAGGCCCGAAGGGGCGTGAGCTGCGCTCACCTTTTGTTTTGTGTATTTCGCAGCTGCCCTGCCTTCCTCAACGCCGACTGCCCTGGGAAGTCGCCTGGCTTCAGGTAACTTCGCTTGTTCTCAACTCATTGTCTGTATCTTGCTTTGACAAAGTCCCCGAGCATGCAAGGGGGTGGTTTAGGGGCCGAATGCCCTGCATTTGTCGTCCTGGCTTCATCATTTACCTGCCATGGGACCCTGAGTGAGTGTCGGAGCCACTGAAGGCCTCGGTTTCCTCCTGTGGATACGGATGAGGAGGCACATAGCGTTTGCTTCCCGAGACCAGTAGAGTTCCATGGCTCTCCCTGGGCAGAGGCTGGAGGGCGGTGTGGCCACGTGGGGCTTGCTGAGTGTCAGCGGGGCCCCGACCTCTGTCACCTCTCTCCCCTGGCGGAACTATAAAGGATGGAGGAGCAGAAAGCACCACTTCTTAATGTTTCCCTGACTCTGTGATTGGCCAGTAGTTGTCACAGTTCAGCTGCTTTTCCACGGATGGTCTTTAAGAGTAACATACAATACACAGAGAAGACTTGGGGGAACCGCCCCCCCCCCATCCCGTGTCTGGGACACCGACTTTGGTTCTAACTCTGAAACAATGCCGGTGGTTTAATGTAGGGGAGGGTTCTCAACGTGAGTGTCTACAAAGGTCAGTCACTTGGAAAGAAAATAATGGTACTTTATTCATAAAGTTGTTGGGAGGATTAAATGGACCATTTAGTCTAGCATATGACCCACAATAAATGCATAAGAATGTTAACTGTTTTGCTGATGGTGGAAGTATTTTAGTTGCGAAGTCAAATTCTTTCAGGATCAGTGCCTCAGAATTTTTAGCCGGGGGTACAAGCCACCCCTATCTGTAGAAGCCCCCAAGGGACAGTCCTGGGTGCTTAAGAATAGTCATTTACACCAACTTGTCAAGTCACTGGTCTACTTGTCAGGTTTAAACTGAGACTCTGATCTCTGAGTCTCTCCACCGAGCTGGTTTCTCCTGTTCCACCACCACCCTGTCGCCTTTGTCTCTGCAGAGTCTGCAACCGCTGGACACCCGGGGATCTATGAGTTCACACTCATTTTATTTGCCGATGGGTGACTAGCCGTCTAGTGCAGGCTCTCCCTTCCCAGCCTCCACTTTCCTTGGCCTTGCTCTGACCCCCAGACCCTCTGCCCGTCCAGAAGGTGAAGACCCAGGGCTGCATCACAGTCTCGCAGGGCCCTGCCCTCTCTGTCCTGGGTGCTCATTGATAAGTTCATCTGTCGGCCCTTCCACCCACAAGCTCTGCATTTCAGCAGGACCCTGAGACACCCACTCTTGACCCAAAGTGGTAGTTCCTCACGGGAGGCTGAGGGGGCGGAGAGAGCAGGCAGGCCCGCGGCAGGTGGGCGGGGGCAGCCTTGCCTGGGACCCCGGGTGCTGACCGCTGGTTCTGACCATGCACGCCAGGCCGGGGGGGCCACATTTGCACAATCCCAATATCGATTTTATTTATTTTCTTACTCTTAATCAGAATAATGTGTGTTGCTGTCACACTTTAGATGGTAACTGTGTGATGAGAGGTTGGATGGGGTTTTTTAAAGGCCGACTCCTACATGTGATTTCGATGGTGTCTGAGAAGAGTCTGAAACTTCATTGTTTGGAATGTGCTTATGAGGACTGTTTTTCTTGTTACCTGCACAGTTTCTTCACCTCCTGGGGAACAGCCTGGCAGTTTCCACCCACTAGGTACTTTTTCCATTATTACACTTTGTAACTTTGTCTTAGGGTCTGTCCTGCCAACCTTATTTTCCAGGCTCTGGTGCTGGTGCTGGTACTGCTGGTGCTGCGTGAAATAGACATGTGAAATAGACGTGTGCTCATTAGGGGCGGGCCAGGAGGGTGGCACTCCCTTGCAAGTGGTGTGGATTCTCCTTTGCAAGGAGAGCCAGCTCACCCCCTACCCCCATAGGCCCTTTGGAGAGCCAATATTAAGGCCTGGCCCTGGGAGTGCTGTTATGGGCCCTTCTCAAGGGGAACCCCTGAACCAGCCCCACTCTCAGGCTCAGAATCCAAGACTCACCCCCGGCTGCTTTGGGTCCAGAGGTCAGTTTCCCTTGGCCGGGTCCTTACCTCCCGGCAGCAGCAACGCCACCCCCTCCTCGGCTTGCTCTTCCGGCACTCAGCCTCTTCCTCTCATCCTCCAGTAAACACTTAATAATTTTTAAATTCAAGTAAAGTGAAATTAATTTTGTTCTGAGAATTTCATAATAGTCTTTGGAGACCTAGGCTAGAAATGCAAAGTCTGAAACCCAGGCGTGTGGCAGAAGTATTTTGAATTTTTAGAGAAGCAACATGAAGAATGATACTCCCAAAGAGAATGAAGGCAGAAGGTGATTTTCAGGTGTTTATGTCTCTAAGAAGCCTACGGGTGGCCTGGATCCCCATAGAAATACTGCCTAGTGAGGAAAAGCATTGTAGCTTGTGCTACATTTCAGATATAAAAGCAGTCATCTGGCCTCCTCTGCATATCAATACTGGGGGTGCAGGGGGTGGGGAACCTATGCTTTGGGGACCCCAAACTGCAGAGCAGGGTAGAATTCTTTCACCTGAAACGCTGTCCCTGTCTCATTAGAAAGGGGAGGGAACCTTCTCAAGCCAAAGTGGCTCTTGGCTCCTGCAGATCTGCCCATGGCAGGCGGGTGGCCGGGAGGAGCAGGTGTGAGGGCCGCGGGGAGATCTGCCACAGCGGCACCTGGGTGACCGCGTGCGACCACCTCTGGGGCCGCCCGTGACCCGGGGGTGTGCCGGCCGCTGGGCTGGGTGGGGGCTGGGGCTGGCGCCCCGGGCGCAGCCTGTCTGGTGATGTCCCTGGCCCGTCTTCCTGGACGGCGCACGGTGCATGAGGGTGGCGGAGACGCGGGCTGTGGAAGGACTCACAGAGGAGACCGTGAAGAGGGCAAAGTTTTATTTTTACTTTCCCAGGAGAGGGAAAGGGCTGGGTGCAGAGAAAAGCACCGGCAGCTACAAGGGGGGGCTGGAAGTTTTTAGTGGGCAAGAAAGGGGAAGGGGGTGCAGCTGGGTAGTCATGGCGATTAGCTGTAAACCTGGAGGTTTCCCGCCCACAGTGCAGGCTTCAGTTTGTTCTGCTGTTATCTTTGGGTTCACGGTCCGGGTGCTCTGATCTGGTATGTCCTGTTTGTATATATTTTTTTAATATTTTATTTATTTATTTTTAGAGAGGGGACAGGAGGGAGAAAGAGAAACATCGAGGTGTGGTTGTCTCTCACGTGCCCCCTACTGGGGACCTGGCCCGTAAACCAGGCACATGCCCTGACTGGGAATTGAACCAGCGACCCTTTGGTTGACAGGCCAGCACTCAATCCACTGAGCCGCACCAGCCAGGGCTGTTTGTATGAGTTTTAAAACACGTGCACGGGGGAGGTTCCTAATAATCTCTCCAGTCCTGAGAATAGCGGCTCAGAGAAACAGCAGTTCATTCTGCCTGACAGGCTCAACGAGAGAGCAACAGCTGGCGCTGGTGAAGAGAGCCTGAGCGGGGCCGTCTTGTCCTTTCAGATATTTCTGTTGCACTTCATTGTTCAGTAGTTTTTTTTCAATCCGTAGAGTGGGTGTTGGACGTTCCCAACAAATCATGGCGTCTCCTGATGAAAACCCTGGATTAAAATGGCATCAGACGCTCATCTGTCTATTTTGTAGCTTCAAATACCCCAAGGGGCTCCTCCCCGGGAAAAGCTCAGATGGGTGCTTCCGGCTAGTGTCCGAAAGCCAGGGTCTGGCCCAGGTGAGGGGAGGCGGTTCAGAGACGCTACCTGGTGTGGACTCGGGCCTTCTACAGAGAGGCTGCCCAGCCTGTGACGGTGCTGCGGTCGCCGGGATGCCCTCAACACCACATGGCACAAGTGGGACTCGGGTGCCCACACCGCTGCGCCCATGAGCGTGCTGAACCCGCTCACACTGGTGCCTTGCGCTTTCTCTCTTAGCTACCGACGTTGCCCTGGGACCCACGGAAACGGCTCCTACAGACAGTAAGCCTTTGTCTCTGTCGCAGGGTCCGGGTTGCTGAGTGGGTCTAGCAGACTCCCCGAGGTTGCAGCCAGCGACGTCAGGGCCCCCCTGGACTCAGGCCTCCCCAGGACTGAGAAAACACAGGGCTGACGCGGAGGCAGAGGCACCAGGTCGCGTGGCTGCTTGTCTAGGGCCTGGTGCTCCCTGGATTTCTGAACTTTGACTCCGGGCCCATGGTCCAGTTTGTCCTAAAGGAAAGAACAAAACGTTTGAGTTTGATATAGTCCAATGTTGTTGCTTAGCAATCTGGTGACCTGACTCTAAATGATGCTTCGCTTCTCCCTGCGTTGACTATAGCCAAAGATGGCAATGTGGAACGAAACACATGAAATAAGAAACAGCCTGGAAAAGCCAGCCACTGCATTTGTGAGCGCTTATTTGACTTATCCCTATGGGCCCTAGAAAAGGAAACAAGAGGCCACACAATAAGAGCTAAGAAAAATCCCCCTAGAAATGACTTGCCAGAACTGGTGATCAGCTTCCAGCAATAACCCCCGAGTTTCTCTCCCCCAGACTTGCCGATCATCAGGCTGGTGGGCGGGAGGAACCTCTGTGAAGGACGCATCGAAGTCTACCACAATGGCACGTGGGGGACAGTGTGTGACGACCTCTGGGACATCAACGCTGCCCACGTGGCATGCCGGCAGCTGGGCTGCGGGGAGGGCGTCAGCGCCCTGGGGGACGGCCACTTCGGGGCCGGCACGGGGCACATCCTCCTGGACAACGTGCAGTGTCGGGGCGACGAGACCACGCTGGGCCAGTGCCGCCACCTGGGCCTGTCTGTCCACAACTGCGGCCACCGCGAGGACGCTGGCGTCGTTTGCTCAGGTCCTCACTGCTGGCTTCTCCTGGGGCCGTGGGGGTCGGGGAGGGGGGTAGATTGTTCTCCGACCCAGTGTTGCTCGCTTCCTGCGTCTTCTGGTTCTCATGCAAGAAGCCTTTCTTACTTTTAATTTCACCCTCAGAAGTCATGTGCATCTAATTTTAGTATTTCCCACATATGCATTTTTTAGATAAAAAGTATCTTCTAAATGTCCTCTTTGTGGGTGGGATTCTTGTTTGGATTTTATCTTATTTTAGTTTCTCTTTTGTTTGACAATTTCAGCGTCAGCCGCAGGAATGACCGCCTCACCTGGTAACGTTTTCTTTCTTGCTTTTATAAATCACATGTTTATTGCTTCCGTTGCATATGGTTAGGGTTGGGGTTTATACCTCATGTGAAACTAAGTATCAAGCTCCTACCAAACTAATACAAGGTGCTCCTCTATTCATTGAATGAGATAGTAAGTTGAGCAGGTAGTAATTGTGCACCTTGTGTATATGGGACACAGTGTGTCCAGTTTGCTGCCTCCCTCCTTGTGCACCAGCGGATCCCTAAAATCAACACGGAGTGAAATGAGCTTCCTTCATATTCCCTCAGTGTTCACACACCGGGTGTTCAGTGAATCCATTTTTCATAACAGTCGTAGGACTTCAGGCATCTCAGGCGACATTATCCCTTTAATCCGCATTTTCAGAAAATAATAGAGTACCACATCTCCCGTGTGTGTTTCTGCCAATCCAGTGACACGCAAACTTTAAAGAAGAATTTTCATGGCTGAATAGCTGGGGAAACACCATACCCCCCTCTTGAAGGTTCAATCAGTCCGCACATTGAAGTCTCTGAGAAGCGCTGCAGTGAGGGATCTTTTTTTAAACTGGCTTAACCCAAAGTCTCTCAAACTTCTCTGACCGCAGAAACCTTGTCAGCGGCAAAGGAGCATCCCAGGATTCACAGCCAGAGAAACTGGGATCATGTTCTGGCTCCGGCCTTGACCAATCGGGGGACAGTCGGGGAGCCCCCTTGCCGCTCAGAGCCTCCGTTTTCAACTGGGAACAGGAGGATGAGCCTTGTCCCGGGGATGGGGTGGCACACACCGGGGCGGGCTCCCTGTCCTGGCGCTTGGTCACGTCCCTGCGGGATGTGTGCGCCGCTGCCGAGACCTGCCTGGCTCTCCCTCTGTGAACCTTCCTCCTCCAGACACCCCAGGGTTCACCCAGGGCTTGAGCTGATCGACCCATGGCCAAGCAAGTTGGAGAAATACTAACTCAACTCAGATCAATTCAAGTTTCCTCTGAACCGTAAACAGTTCTGACAGCATCCCACGGTCCCTATTTCCAAAGATCTCAGAGCCTTCTGCCAGGCGTGGTAGAAACTGACCTCTAAGGAAAATCAGATGATAAACACATTTCTCTCAGGGTTGGGTCTGTGAAAAATCAGCCTCCGGGTGTCTTAGGCAAGGACAAGTTCAATGCGGCACCATCATGGTGTAACATTTTTCTGAGAGTTCAAAGAAACACTGGAGATCGTTCAGCCTAGAAGTCACAAACAGGCAGCCGAAGGGCCAGTTTTAACCCGTGGGTGGGTTCAGATTCAGATAACAGAGTTTTGCCTATGCAATGTTTTGTTTTTTTTAAAGAGTACAATTTTTAAAAAAGAGATTTCATAGAAAAGTACAGATTTCTAGCTTTGATGGAAAAGCCAGAGGGTGGGAAGTACTAGCTTGAATTTCAGCAGAGCACCAGTTGCCTGGGGTTCTGCAGGGACAGGCCTTTATTTGGGCTTGTCCTCTAGTTCCCTCCAGGGCCACGCCAATGAGTTCCGGCCTGGAGGCATCTCCATTCCAATGCTTGGTGCTCCTCAAACTTTGATGCGCCTGTAAGTCCCTTGGAGATCTTGCAAAAATGCAGATTCTGATTCAGTAGTCTGGGGTGGGTCTGAGAGTCTGCATTCCTTACGAAGTGGTATCGATGCTGCTGGTCCATGAACTAGCCCCTCAGGGAGTGCAGCTGGGAGATGCAAAACAGAAAGGACTGGCCCAGGGTCACCTGCTTGGTTACGCGAAGAGCAGAGAAGAGAACCGAGGTCTCTTGGATCCCAGCCCCACGTAACCTCTCTTCCATTATTTATTTCCCTTTGCTTAATGAAGCAGAGAATAGAAAATTTCCTATGTGCCTAACAGTTGACTTTCTGGTCTCCCTACTGGCTGTGCATCATGTGAGACAACGAACTGGGGACCGGGTGACCTCACGGCCGAGCCACATCGGTGATGGCAGTCAATGCTAACAGATGCTAGCTGCAGTTATCTGAGGAGCTCCTGGTGTGACTTGGGTTTAAGAATTTTACAAATGCAGTGCTGGGGGTTTGTTGTGGGGAGGGCAATAAAGAGAGCGCTCTCCGCTCCTCTCGGTGCTAAAGTCACTAATAAGTAAAACACCAGAGTCAACACAGAATATGGCCTTCAGTACTGATACAGCTGTTCGGGGGGGGGGGGGGGGGCAAACGCGCCTGCCGCCCGCTCCTCACCCTTGGCCTAGATCTCGGGACAGCGCCGCTGGGCGGAGCCGACCCTCTCCTGGGTCACTGCTTCCCATCCATGTTTGGGGGGCGGGCCAGGGCCAGCAAGTGCCCACTTACAGACTCTCTGTTAGATTGTCCCTGCACAGCAGGGGAACTTGGAGCGATGGTGGTTGTCCTCTGAACGGACCATCTGGACCTCCAAGGGGAGAAGCAAAGGGTGGGCACACGTGGCGACCCAGGGAGTGGGTCGTGGCCTGGAGACAGTGGAGGCTCTGGAGACCAGCTGCAGACCTGGCAGGGAAGCAGAAACACAAGTTGGCCAGCCTCACAGGCCTACGACAGCCGTCTTTACATATCCTGTGTCTCGTAGAAATGCGTGTGCCCGATACGGCTCTTATTGCGGTCTTGTTATTTTTATTCCTTTATGGCTTCAGTCTCAACTGCCCCGAACTCCACACCTGGTAAAATATTGTTAGCTGTCCCACGAGGGCCTCCTCTTGGGGTTCCGTTGACCAGACTAGGCTGTTCCTGGACATTCTGTCCCCAACACAGACTCAGTAAAAACAGAAACCCTGGTGTCCTATCTGCTGGTGGTCAATTTCTTTCTTCTTTTTCCATAGATGCCTCTGCAGTGTCAGCAGAAGTGACCTCTTCTTCTGGTAAAGTCTCTCTCCTTGTGATGTTTCAGTTAATGAGACCAGCTTCTTACTTGCCATGTTCTATTTAGAAAATGAACCCACTGTATGGCCATTTTGACCACAAAGTAAGCCTCAGTGAAAAGACAAACGGAAGTGTCCTTCCTCCCATTTTTAAGCGTCCTCTTCTCTGTCCCTACACAGATGTCCCTTCCACCTCTGCAGAAGTGGACTCACCCTCAGGTAATGTGTTCTGCTGCCACCCTTCTCGAGTTAAATATGATCGTCTCTTCCCTCTTCCTGTTTAACAAGTAAACATATGTACCAACTATTTTATCCACAGTATAAATCCCAATGTAAGCTGAAGGCCCAGTGACCTTCTCACAGAAATTAAGCTTCATGTTCTCTTCGTTCATCCAGAGACACAGACTGGCCTCTCCGTTAGGGAGTGCCTTCCACCTGCTGCTGGTCTGGACGGGCTGTGCCCAGGGGACGTGGGAGAGGGCAGGGCCTCACCCTACCTGCGCGCAGGTGGTGCTCTGGCCTTCCACACGCCCAAGCGCACACACTGGAGAACCAGGTTGTCACAGCGCTGGCTCTGCCCACCAGTTCTTCTGTTTTCCACCACCCTCTTGTTTAAAAAAATTTTCTTTTTTTTTTTTTTCCCCCACTGATCTTTGAGTTTGGTTCTTCTTTGTTTGCAGATACAGCTCCCACTTCAGGTGACATGTCTTCCTCGCCAGGTAGGCTCTCTTCTCCCCGCAGTCACCCTGGTGAGCGACTCCCTGAGAACTCCCCACCCCTGCACGTTTACACACCAGAGCCACCAAACACTTCCTGTTCCCCAGGGGACACCAAGACGAGGAGAGGTGGGACAGGTTCCCGGCCACACCCCCTCCACTGGTCACAGTTCTGAATAAAGGCAGATGTGGGGCCAGGATGAATAGGACAAAAAGGCATCAGGTGTCAGCCCTGGAGGAGACCAGAGAGGTGACCTACACCAACAATTCTCAAACCTTAATGAGCAAGTGAAGGGCCTGGAGGACTTGTTAAAACGCAGGAGCTGATTCAGAGGCTCCAGGGGGCGCCTGGGTCTGCACGGGCTGGCAGGTGATGCCCATTCAGGGAGTGAGGACACTGAACTCCCACCCTGTTCTGGAGGAAGTGAGGCCCAAAGAAGGAAGCGTCTTAGTCGGCCAGGGCTGCTGTAACTAAGGACCACGGACCGCGTGGCTTACACAACAGATATTTATTTTCTCATGGTGCTGAAGACCAGAAGTCCAAGCTCGGGGACAGCAGGGCTGATGTCTGGTGCAGACTCCTTTCTTGGGTTGGAGACAGCTGCCTTCTCGCTGTGTATTCACAGAACAAGGGCGGTGGGGAGGGAGGGCGGGGAGAGACAGAGAACATGCTCTGGTGTCTGTTTCAAGAACACTGAGTCTGTCCACTCAGGGCCCCACGCTTATGACCTCAACGAACCTTAATTACTTACTCAGAGGCCCCATCTCCAAATGTAGCCCCCTCAGGGGTTAGGGCTTTGACATAGGAATTTTGAAGGGACACGGTTAGGTCCATAGCCACCCCAGAGCTAGAGCAAGGCAAGGCTTGGTCTCCTGGCTCCCATGCAAAGTTCTTTCTGTTCTGAGGCTTTGCTGGTCCATCCACCTGGGGGATCCCCCCACCCCATCCCTGTGACATCAGTCCCTTCATAATAAGGCCTTCTGTCTGCTTTCCTCTGGTTTGTTTCTTTCAAATCCTGGTTACCTTGAAGACATTCAGGGTAAAACTCAATGAAATCAAAGGTTAGGACTTTCTTTTCAATTACACTTACGTATTGGCTTTCTTTCTCCCTCCCACCTCTCCCTTCCCTTCCTTCCTCCCCCCTTCCTGCTTTCCTTCCTTCCCACCTCACTCCCTCCATCCTCCACCTCCTCCCTCCCTTCTTTCCCTGCCGCCATCATGACTCCACGGAGGGCGAGCGTTCCTTCACTTGTAATTCTCCCCGCTCTCGGCTTTCTTTGCGCACCTGGTTGACAGTAACTGCTTCCCACGCAGATCAGGGAGCACCCACACGCTTTGCTCTCCTTATGAAAACACGACAGCCGGAGTCACTCCTGCAGGGCGTGCCTCCTGTAGTGTAAGAGCAAATGTGGCTGTCGCTTACGCACCCCGCTGAGCCCAGAGTGAAGGCAGCTCCCACATCTTAGGCTTCCGAAAGGCACAGAAAGGGTGTGAGCTCTGGAACCTCACGGGTTGGAACTGTAGGTCACCCGGGCATGTTGTACAGACCAGGGAGTCTCTAGTTCCTCATCTCTGAATCCAGTTCCTCATCTCTGAAATAGCGGTTATTTCAGTGTAATAACCTGGCCCCCCGTCAGTGCAAGGATTAGAGATGTACATCAGAGGACACACTGTAGACACTCAGACTGAGAACTGCTGTTCACCTGCCTTGCCAAATAGCAGCTGCTCACACGCCATTCCACCCCCGATGTGTAAATCCACAGGGTGAGTAAGCAGGGTGGACCCTAGTGCATACAGCTTCGGGAACAGACCTGGTTTTATAAATTTGCCGTCCACGGTGTAAAATTTCAATGAAGCCACACTGTAAAGCTTTCTTTCACTGAAAAAGAAAAAATTTTTTTTTGGCAGCCACAGATCTGATTTCAACAGAACTGACACCATCACCCGGTAATAACCTTTTAATCCTGTCACTGGCTTAACCCTTCATTTTTCAGTAATTTAGACAACCGCCCTCTATTGTAAAATCCACTGTTATTTTTCTACCTTGTGCCCCTCTGCATGTCTGCACATGGAATTAACCCCTCCGACATGAACTCTCTCTCAAATTTTTTTTCTGAGGAATCTGCATTGATTTTCTTCACATAATTTTCAGATCCTGTTAAATCTTTTTCTATAAAATCTGATGCTTTTGTATGCTTCCTCTCAAAAATCCCGTATATTTATAAAGCTTGTTCTCTGGCCATTTAATAAATTATTTTATTTTTGGAGAATAAATAGGACACATTACCACTTGTTACATTTTGATAGAAATGTAAAGAAAATAAAACTTCACAGACAGTATTTCTGCCCCCAAACCAATGGAAAGGCTTAAACAAAGTGTTAGTGTCCAAACTTAGAGACAATGCCTGGTTCCTCAGCTCTGACTATAAATACGTGACTTTGAAGATATGCATTTTGAAGCTTAGTTTTTCTTTTTTACAGTTACAATTTCAGTTGGTGAAGACACAGTTCCTTTACCTGGTAATGTTTGTTTGTTTCTAAGCATTAATATGGTCATATCATTATTAGTACTGTTAAGATCATATTTATTATTCATTCAGATTTCCTACTATTCAGAGAAAGTTTTCTTTTTTTAATTTTTAGAGAGAGGAAGGGAGGGAGAGAGAGGGAGAGAAACACCAATGTGTGGTTGCCTCCTGCACACCCTCCACCAGGGGCCCCGCTGCAACCCAGGCCTGTGCCCTGGTTGGGAATTGAACCCGAGACTCTTTGGTTTACAGGCCAGCACTCAATCACTCAGCCACACCAGCCAGGGCTTCACAGAAAGCTTTTATGAGCATACACCAGCACCTGTGTGGGTTTGAAGGCCCACATTCACGCCCAAGACCTCACTCAGAAGATCCTTGCTTTTGTCCACAGTTCAAACAAGTGCGATTATCTTGCTTCCAAAACACAGCAATAAATTAGATGAGGAGAAAACAACCGTCCAAGACCGGGCTATTGCAGCGACCGAGAAGCTGAAGCCAGTGGTCGTTGTTAGCACGCACTGAGCGTCTCCTGCGCTTGGAGCACAGCAGGAAATCGACAATCACTTGTAACCAGCTTATGTGAAGATGAATCATTTAACACATGTCTGAGGGTGTGGCCCCACCAATATGTTATGTTTTATTTTTTAAATTATTTTTACTTTTTAAAATCACCTTTTTTGAGGCAGTTACATGCAGGGAAGTGCACACATCCCCGAGTTTTGTCTAATGTGCACAACTGTGAGCCCACTACCGTAACCAAGGTACGAGCGTTTTCATCACCCAGAAAGTTCCCTCATGCCCCTTCGCAGTGAAGCTCCCCCCCCCCCCCGCCAGGGAGCCGCTGATCTGCTATCTATCTCTGCCGTTTGGATTTGTTTTTCCAGAATCTCATATAAATGGAATCAATATGTCCTCTTTCATGTCTGAATTCTCTTGTGTAACAGGTTGACTTTGAGACATATGGTTCCATAATGAGCAATTTGTTCCTCTTATTGCTTAGTAACATTCCATTGGGTGGATGTACCACAATTTAACCATTCTCCTGCACTCAGACATTTGGATTGTTTCTGGGTTTTATCTATTATTGAGACTTCTGCTATGTACACATCTTTCTGTAGACATGTGTTATGATTTACCTGAATAGCTACGTTACATCATATAGATCTTTAAAAAATTGAGAAATAACATTATATTAGTTTAAGGTGTACAACAGAATGATTCAACATTTGTATACATTGCAAAAAAATCACAATGATCTCGTTAATGTCCATTGCCATAGTTATCAAATTATTTTTCTCATGATGAGAAAGTTTAAGATCAATTCTCTTGGCAACTTTCAAATATACAACACAACACGCAATAGTTCACACAGTCAGCTCTCCTGACCATGCCATGCATTGCATCTCTGGGTCTTGTTTATCTTATCACTGGAAACAGGCACCCACAACAGTTTTTACAGTCCAAATGTTGCCTTCTATTCGTCAAGAGTTAAAGAGATTTCTTTGGCTCGCTCTTAGGTGAGGAGTCAGAGCCAAGCCTTGTTTTAGCAAAATTGCCTTCCAAAGATTTAGATTTAGGTTTCTGCCTCTTTTGTTTTGTTTTCTTTTAGAATTCAATATTTTTGTGTAAAGATTGAATTCTTGGGTATCTGGAAAATTATGCTGCCCAGAATGGCCATTCCTTGAGGATTTCAGTTAATTAAGGCTCTACGTTTTGGCCGGTGGGGAGTGGGGAGAGAGAGAGATACAAGCAAACATAGGATTCATCCTGGCGTTTTTTTCCTACTGCACATGACAAAGGACCCTGAGAAGCGTCCCACGTCCCACGGTAGGAACCTGCTGGTGTGTCCTGGCCACCTGACTCACGCTCTTGCCTCCCGCAGACCCGCCCCTGCGCCTGGCAGGTGGGCGCAGCCGCTGCGAGGGCCGCGTTGAGGTCTGGCACCAGGGCGTGTGGGGCACGGTGTGCGACGACCACTGGAACATCAGGAACGCCCGCGTTGTGTGCCGCCTTCTGGGCTGCGGCCGCGCGCTCAGCGCGCCGGGGCGCTGCCGCTTCGGCCCGGGCGCGGGGCCCATCCTGCTGGACGATGTGCGCTGCGCAGGCACCGAGGACGCGCTGGGCCACTGCGTCCACTCGGGCTGGGCTCGACACAACTGCCGGCACCGGGAGGATGCGGGCGTCGTGTGCACAGGTACCCGTCCGGCCACCCCAGCCACCCACCCCAGGACTGGGGTTCTTCCCGAGGCGATGCCCCTTCTTTTCTCGCCAAGCTTTCCCGAGGTCAGGCTTCACTATCGCAAGAAATACGAGGCTGGCCAAGGTGCCAGATTCTAGGATAACAAGAGCGTGTTTGCTACACCGCCATTTGGGTAAATGTTTTAATCACGCAGCCCTGGGATTTTATGAATCAGCTTTGTCCAATTGCAGTTCAGAGCAATACTCGTTCCGAAAGAGAGCTAAAAGATCATGAGACCCGAGGAAGAAGGGACAGTGTCACAAAGTGACATAGAGCTTGGTGCTGGCCGTGAGACTGCAATTTATCGAAGTCCCCTTTTCAGTCTCAAGGACATCAAGGGCACGGTCCTGGGTGGAGTCCCTTCGTCACCCGGCCCTGGCCCTGAGAAGCCGGAAGCCCACGTGGCCTCACTTCCCCCTTGTGTCCTTTTCATCCTGCACCTTTCCTGAAATTCTTCTCACTCTCTCCCAACGTCTCTCTCGTCATTCTGGCCTCCACAGGGTGACCCCCTTCTGCGTGGAGCGGTACGCCTTTGTATTTGTCCCTGATTCACCCCCGTAAACCTCAGAGTTATAGAGGTCTACGATTTGGTGACCAAATCTCAGCTCACCTTGTCTGTGCCATCCTTAGTTGTTTTACTAGGTAAACAAGGTAAAGAAACCGTTGCCATTGCTTTTCTTGATGCACGGGCTACTCTTCTTTTGCATGGAAATGTGGCCCAAGTAGAAAAGCCACAAGAACCCATGGAGACAAACATGAACCCTGCAGGAGCCACGGGGTGCCCGCCCGCCTGGGGTTGTGGGGTCTTCACCTTCCAGACCCTTGCTCTTGTCAGGCCTGTTCACAGCTCCAGCCATTCCTCCTGCTACCGGGGGTCCCCCTGTGAACGGTTGTTCATTTTCCATTCCTGGATTATGGGCTAAGGGGTTTCCTTTTCACGGGTACAACAACCAAAGGACCAGTGGTCCGAGGCCAAGAGTGTTGAAAGAGGCTCAGTGAGTCTGGCCAGCACGCTCCCTGGCCTGGGCCCTGGCCCTAGGTTACTATCCTGCCCTGCTTCTGGGCTATGGAGGCCGTGGGCAGCCACACGCTTCCTATTTCCCAGCCAGCGTTCACGTTCGCGACAGAGTTCAGAACCTGCAAAGCTTGTTCCACCAAAGCATCCTGTGGGTAACACCCCTGTTCTCACACGGCTGTGCACGTCCAGGACCCCTCCCCCAGCTCCATCAGGAGGCCCTGGGCTCTCCTGCCTTTGGCATTGCCCTGGAGTCCTTTCATGCCCTCACAGCTCGACTTTAATAGCTCAGTCAAGTGAGCCTGTCTCCCCACTTTGCGTATCTGCTGCTGGCTGCTTCGCAGTCTCCCGGTCGCTGTGCCACTGACCTTTGTTTTTCGTCCTTCTCCCTCACCAGGCGGAGCCGACTCTGTTGTGCCCAAGGACCATGGTAAAGTCTTCTGCTCTCCTAGGACCTGGGGCCATGGGAAGGGGGAGCTGGGAGAGCAGCTGCCCAGGGAAGAGAGGACAGGCGGTGGGGGGACTAGCTCTGATGCCTCCATCCGCTTGTATCTCCATCCGCTCACTGGGCTTCGGGAGGCTGGGGAAGAAGCCCCTTTGCATCTACCCCCACCCTTTGCTTCCTCTCTCTTTTTCCAACCAGATCGATGCATGTTCAGGCTCAGGGGTTGGCAGCATGTGAAGTGAGCTGTCTTTAGCTCCTTGGAAGAGGCTCTGACTCCCAGGTCGTGGCATGCGTGCTGTGAGGGGGATTCCCCATGGATGCGGTGTGACTTTGGAAAAGGGGGGTATAAATAAAGTCCATGAAAGCCAAGTCCAGTGTCGGGGGATGAGAGCCGAGCCCACCCAGGGCACTGTTGGTACTTTTGGAAAGTAAACATACACCCCCACCCCGCCCCCACCCCACATGTCCCGTGCATCGAGTTCTCTCCGTGAGCGTCTCCCCATCTTTCTCCCGCTGCAGCCCAGCTCGTCTGCTCGCCTCGTCTCTTCCAAATCACCATTGACCGAGGCTACCTCCGGAGGCTGGGCTACTCCTCCTGGGACGTTCACTTAAATGACGAGCTGTGTCGCCCCCAGGTCATGGGGCACTACCTGGTCTTCAGCTTTCCCTACGGCCACTGTGGCTCCATCCAGCAGGTGAGAGACTGAGGAGTGGTGGTACCCTGCTGAGGATGGGGGCCAAGGAGAGAGGTGTGGAAAATTCAACCAGCTATTAAACACCTGGGTAGGGACAGAGGAACGGCACAAGCCATGACTTTCTTTCTGAGTTCAGTGAGATCTGGAGCCACTCACTGACTTGTCCGAAACTTTCCTTCCATTTGGAAATTGGGGTACACATACTGAATTTGGAACACACAGTAACAAGTGGTAAGCGCTGATGACCTGATAGATGGGTGGGTGGGTGTATGGGTGGGCAGGGGGCGTGGATGGGTGGATGGGTGGATGGAGGGAGCTATTCCCTTAGCTCCAGAGCCTAAGTATTTTTTTTACAACACGCTTCTTCATTCAGTATTAGTACGGGCCTACTACATGCAAGTTATAGTGCTAGACATGGAAGAACACAGGGTCTGTGTGACTGCTGTGTTTCTAACCAGGGAGCTTACTCTATTTCCCAATCTAGAAAGTAAATATCTAGGACATTTACATATTGTGAAACGCATAGGTTCATTTCCATTTCCGTCACCACCTGCTTACCTCACAAAACGATGTCATGGAAGTTAAGGAATCAAGGATACCAAAGGTAGAGGAAGAGCATATGATCACGAAATCATTTTTCTCAGTGCATTTAACAACGTAGCATGCGCAAAGCAGATCCCCCTGCTATTTGTTCATGCTTTGGCATCCGTGTTTAGAAACACACACACACACACACACACACACACACCCGTAACATTGGTAGAGGCTGGATTCATTCACATGGTTGAATTCCATTCTTGACATTTGTCTATTGAGCTAGGCAAACCGTGGTCAATCTTACCCGTCTCGCTCTGGAAGTTTAGTTTTCGCCTCAGAAGTGCCTGCCCGGGAGCCTTGTGTCTGGGAGGAGGGCAGCCCTCGGAGGTCCAGGCCATCGGGGGGGCTGCTTCCCCAGCGTCCCCCGCCAGCCTCGCTGCGCGTGCTGACCCACAGTGCCGGGGCCACCCCCAGGGACACCCCCACCACAGAATGCCCCTGCGTCTGATTCCAGAGTCAGTGAGAGAACAGCCTCCCAGGTGCTGAGCCACAGCTGCCGACAAGACTGACAGGGGTCCGGGCCACTCGAGAAAAGGGAGCTAGGCACTGGACACATGCGCGGATGAGAGTCCTTTACAGCGACAAGGGTTGGGAAGGCAATGAAATGAGGAAGAGAACGGAAAATGGTCTGGGGTGGAAGGAAGGTCCCTGTGAGCAGGACGGCCAAGGAGCGGGGCCTGGCTGAGGAGCGGAGCTGGGGGAGGGCACAGGGCCGCTCCAGCCAGGGCTCGGCCGGCGTGGAGGCCCCGGGCAGCTGCAAGCTCGGAGGGCTCCAGGAAGGCGCTCCAGGAAGGCGCTCCAGGAAGGCCCTCCAGGAAGGCCCGTGGACACGCGGAAGCCCAAGGACAAGCTGGAAAGAGGCAGGGCCACGTGGTGGCGAACTGGGATTTTCTCCTAAACTGTGCGTTCTCAACAAGGGCGATGTCACCCTCGGGTGGGAGGGAGAGAGAGATTGGTTCCTAATGGCGAAAAAGAAAAAGAAACCTTTCTTTATAGGTAGAGCACAGATATATGTACAGAGCATCTACAGTGGATGGTTGTACCAAAATTTCATAGGGAGGGGAGGGGATGGGGTGAGCAGGAAAGCAAATGTCCCTGAAGGCAGCCCAGTGGGAAATGGTGACCTACACAGTCTTCAGAGGGGCCCAAGGCAGAACGTCACAGACCTGAGTCACACAAGCCGAGGATTCCTTGGACCAATGTCCCCGACAGTCTTCAGGCGACACCCAGGGCGGTGGGAAGGGGGCTGCCAGAGCCCCGCCAGCCGCCAGCCCCGCCTTCGCCCCTTCAGGTCAGGCTGGATCGGAAGGGGCGAGGCTGAGAGCGAGGGTCGGCAGGGCCAGGCTGCAGCTCCCGGGGCCAGGACTGCTCTGGGGCAAGAGCAGGGAGGAGGCAGAATAAGGATAAGAGCCCCACTGGGGGACGGTCGGTGCCTGTCCGACAGTATCGTGGGCTGAGGGAGTGGAATATGTGAAGGAATGAGCTCAGCAGCCAGCATGGACCCCATATCTCACCTCGGACCCTCAGAACCCGGCGCTCACAAGAGGGGGGTGAGCCCAGGCTCACCCATCTTGGGGCTCCCTGCGTGCACCCTGAACTCCAAGAGCAAGGCCGCCCCATCGTGGTGTTAGGTAACACAGAGACCAGGCCCCAAGCCTCCCGGTGGGCAGCTCATCACTGAGCTGGCCCCAAACGGGCACTGAGTAGCAGAGGGCCCTGCTGGTGAAGGCAGGTGCTGGTCAGGGAGCCGGGAGAACCTGGCCACCAACTCACCTCTCGTCCTTCCAGGAAAGCCTCGGCTCCGTCAGCTACTCCAACTCCATCCGAGGCCGGACGTGGGGCCGCCCTGGCCAAGTCATTGTGCGGCACAAGGTGCCTCAGCTGAAGTTCACCTGCACCGTGGATGGCCCGTCAGCGATTGAAATTGTTCCTGGGGCTGACGTCCCAAGGAAGGGTGGTAGCTACGATGTGTCCATATCCTTCCTCGAGTGGCCCGTGTCCCCGCACAGGGGGAGCGAGGGACCCTACTACACCAGCCAGCGGAAAGAGGTCTTCCTCCAGGCCACGCTCCATAGCCCCGGTCGCCACCTGAGGCCCTTCGTGGATACCTGTGTGGCTTCCCCAGACCCCCGGGATTTTACAACGGTCAAGTACGAGTTGATCCGACACGGGTAAGGGCAATGGAGGCCCTCTGGGCTGGCTGTTGGATCCAGGCCTGCCTTTGGGGGCCTTTGGGCTCTCAGCTTGGGGGACAGTCCGTGCTGTGCCCCAGAGGCAAGGCTCAGGCCCGGACCACACCTCTGAGCCCAGTTGGGGACAGCTAGTTACAGGAAGTGTGGATGACTTCTCCTGAATTTCCAGAGTCCTGCGCAGAGCCTTTGTCCTCGCATCCGGCTCTTTCATCCACCCCTTTCCGGTCTCTCTAAGTTTGATGACTTTATTACGCTGCCCCTTCCTCGGGGCGCTGGGCCTACACTGGTGAGCTGGTGGGTTACCCCGGGCTCAGCTCTTACAGTGGTGAGATTTTTTTTCTGGCTCCTTTGGTTAAACAACAGATTTGTCAACTTAGAACTCTGGCAAGTTGTTTGCCTTTATGGCTCCCTTGTCTTCTGATAGGGCGAAATGCTTATGCATGGGTAATTGGCAACCAGGGCAAAGAGAACAAAAACCCATTGCCTACTAAAACCCTGAGAAGCATCCTAGTGCCTGTTTCCTGAAGCCCCGGAGCGAGCAAGGGGCGGCATCTCCCGCAGGTGGCGTCAGACAGGGCGTGCGCAGTGCTCGGTCACAGCAGTGACAGGCGCCAAGTCGGGGTGAGGAAGTTCTTCCTTTTAGTTCTGCTCACAGATGGATCAAGGAGAGAGGCACAGTTTGGTGCCAGAATTTTACAGCCGCCACTTTTTCTTCTGCTTGTTTTAGGTTTAATTTTCTCTTCTAATTTCCTAAGGTGGAAGCTTCCATTAGTGACTTTAGACATCCCTTCTTTTCCAATACATGCATTTAGTGCTATAAATTTCTCTCTAAGCACCCCTAGCTGCTTCCTACAAATTTTGGTAAATTGTATATTTGTTTTCACGGAGTTTGAAATTTTTTTAAATTTCTTTTGAGACCTTTTTCTTTGATCTATGGGTTACTGCGAAGTGTGTTAATTTCCAAGTATTTAGGAGTGTTCTAGTTATGGATTTTTAGTTTAATTCCATGGTGATCTCAGGGTGTATTTTGTGTGTTTTCTATCCTTTTAAATTTGTTAAGGTATGTTTTATGGTCCAGACTGTGGTCTTAGTGAGTGTCCCATGTGGGCCTGAGAACAATGTGCATTCCGTTGTTGTTGGATGGCGTGTTCCAGAAATGTCAGTTAGCCTTGCTGACCGACTGTGAATTTTAGATCTCTGTATCTTTCCTGGTTTTCTGCCTGCTGGGCCTCTCAATTCCTCACGGAGGCACAATGAAGTCTCCAACCATTATAGTGGATTTATTGATTACTCTGTGCAGTTGTATCAGTGTTTGCCTCTTATATTTTGACGCCCTATCGTTAGGTGCATATACATTAAGGACTGTTATGTCTTTCTGAAGGACTGGCCCCTTTATTATTACACAATACCCCTCTTCATCCCTGTTATCCTGGCTCTGGAGTCTGTTTTGTTTGGAATAAATATAGCTACTGAAGCTTTCTTTTGATTAGTACTCATATTAGCATAGTAAATCTCTATCCCTTTACTTTCAATTTATCTATGTCTTTCTACTTAAAGTGCATTGCTTATGGACAATATATTGCCAGGTCTTGATTTTTTTTAATCTACTCCAACAAACTCTGTGTTTAAATCAGTATATTCAGACCACTCACATAATGTGATTCTTGGTATAGTTGGATTAAAATCTACCATCTTGGTAACTGTTTTCTATTAATTGCATTTGTTTCTCCCCCTACTCCCTCTTTTTCTGCCTTTCCTGATTTTAATCGAGCATTTTACATTATTCCATTTTATCTCCTCTCTTGACGTAGCATTTAGACTTTAACTTTTTCAGTGGTTGCATAAGGTATACAAAGTACATTTTTAAATAATCGAAGTTCACCTTCAAATAATGCGGCCCCCATCTTTAATCTCCCCTTGTGACAAAATAGAGCGGGCCTTCTGAAGGCAACAGTTCTAACTAGAATTTAATTACCTTGTTTTATGCTTATGTTTATTTCATAGTTCCCTTGTATTCCTGGCCTAGAATAGCAGCTTTTCCACTTGTAGTAGTGTTATAAAATTTTTTTTATAAAACAGGGACAGAGTGGTAGTGGGAAGAGATCCGTCTGGAATGCAGAGCTCTGGGTCCCCGACTGAATGTGTGTGTCAGAGTAAAGTCACCCTGCACTTTAAGTTAACCCTTTTGGTCTGGGTCTTTTCTTCCTATCAGCTGCGTCAAAGACAATACCTACGTCACCCTTCACTCTGACCAGAGGAACACGGCCCAGTTCAAGTTCAACGCCTTTAGCTTTCTCAGCAGCTATGATGTGGTCTATCTGCAGTGTAAGATCGTCGTGTGCAACATGAGGGACCCGTCTGCCCACTGCCCCCCGGGGTGTGCAGGGCAGAATCAGAGGGGTGCGGGCCCCGTGGGGGCCGCAGAAGAGCAGGCTGAGCACTTTCAGATGGTGGGGCCCCTGGAAATCCACAGAGGAACTGGTCAGCGCCCGCACTTCCCATGATTCCTCCGATTTTCCCATGAATTTGTTAGAAATTAGAAACAAAGTTTACTTCTCTTCAATAAAGTAGTACATTTGATAAATAGAAGTTTGTCCAGATAGAAACAGGTTAAAAAAACAGCTAAAGAGTTTCTATCTGTGCTTTGTTGCTATTAAATCTTTTCCGACTACTAAACTTCTTTTTTAATCTATGGAATTTATTGCGATGGCATTGGTCAATAAAATTATATAGGTTTCAGGTGTACAATTCTACAATTAATCATCTGTGTATTGTAGTATGTGTTCACCACCCCATGATTACTAAACTGCTAAGGCAATTGCTTCCTTTGAGGCTAGAAACATTACATTTTCCCTTCTTTACTATCCAGAACTTGATATCATCTTAAACTGTACAAAAGTGTTATCAAGAACAAAATTATCTCTCTGTAACACATTGCTGACTTGAAGATTTTAAAAACTTTCCTCCTTAATGTTCAGGTGCTAGTAGGTGGTGGATCTTTTTGTTTCTGCCCCTCTGGTGCTGTGAGAAATTTATTTTCAGGTCTTGCCAAAGGTCTTATGAAAAATAAATTAAGCGTCAGTCAGGAAGCCCTGCTCTTTTAAAAAAAAAATCTCTAATAACGAGTCAGTTGAATCAAACGCATCATTTGCTCAGCATCATTGACTTGACACAAGCTTTGTTTGTTTCTAAGGAAACAAATTGGCCCCAGGCTTTACTGGGTTCTGGTTGTAGCTTACAAATTAGATTCTGAAACAGAAGCACAAGAGCCACTCCTGGCTGCTTTCGGGGGCAGCGCACGCTTAGGCTGTTCCCCAGGCCCCCGTGGCGTGACGTGGAGCCTGGCAAGTGTGTGGGAACCTGGAAAAGCGCACAGGAAACACTGGCCTGTCCCCACGTGCTCCCCCAAAGGAGGGCAGCCCCCGCCTTTCCTTTTATCTTACCAGAAAAAGGCCTGCACTAGGCTGAGTACCTTCAAAGTTGGATTTAAAGAAACAGAGTTGAACATAGAAATTTTTTTTTTGCTTGTCAAGAAATACTCAGTAGTTATATTTAAAATACAAGTCCTCAACACCAAGAAATCATTCCCACTTTTGTCAAGAACTAGGCTGTACCCGATGAGAACCCAGGACGGTCAAGTGTCCCAGGGTCGGCCGGGGCAGTGTTCGGTGGAGCCTGGGCGCGCACCCTGAAGTCCTGAGAGATGGAAATCGGACAAGGGGCCCGAGGACGGATGAGGCCTCGAAAGGGGAACATCTCCGTTTCATGCAACCTGACCTTCGTTGACAACCGTCTTTGTCAAAATACGATACTGAATTTATTTAGATGAAGTCCCCTGCTATACATAGTAAAAGCTGATAAAATTATACAGGTTTTGATGAAATGGAACTACTGTTCAGTTTGAAGAAGATGGCCTCTTTAAAGCAAAAGTTCAGAAGTTTCATCTTCAGTCACGTGAAATAATAATTTTAGTATTTGCCATCTAGTTCATGCGAGCGCTTCAAATGAGTAAGTTAGTTTCTCCAAGGACCTTTGAACAGCCAGAATTTCTGCTTTCAAAAGTTCGCCTGCCTGTTAATTCTCTCTGTACCGTGTTAAGGAAGAGGGGGTGGGAGTGGGGGTGGAGGGGCTACCAGCTTCCACAATTGAGCATTTTATGGATTTTAGCAAATCTCTCATGTGCAAAGTGCTGACAGTGAACGGACTGAATCGTAAGACTAAATCAGGGCCCCCTGACCTTCCAGGTCAGGTTCTCCGGGTGTTGTTCATGGGACGGGAGCCAGGGAGCCGCCCGTTCCGAAAGCACCGCAGGTGAGTCCCAGGGACGCTGAAGTTTGAAAGCCACGGCCATGGCCCAGCAGCCTGCGCCCCAGGAATCAAAATGCACTTGACAGGGAGACGCCTGCCCCCCAAAAACACCAGTCCGTGGGTTCAGACAGAAAGCCCCAAGAGAAGCCTGTTAACTAAGGTATAGTTAACATCCTTTTTCATAAACAGAAAACATTTTTAAAACTTGTTAAATAGTTCGTTTTTAATGTGAGAGCCAGCAGGCCATGGGCGTTCACTCTGGTCACCCTGCAAGGAAACACACCTGAGCACCAGGACAGGGAGGAGGGCCTGTCTGCCACTGCGACGAGGCCCCTCTATTTACTCAGGGCGCATGCAGCCCTCACGGAGCCTTTCCTTCTGCATTTGGGAGAAACACGTCTCGCCTACGGCCGAACCCTTTCATCAATAGCCCTGCAGCTCCTGGTATTCGAAGCCTGTTCTCTGATTCACAAAGTGCCTCCCGATGGCCAAGGCCACGACCACAACATTCAGGGAAAGGACCGCGGACGAAGACAGGCGTAGACGGCTGAAAGGTTGGCTCCGAGTGTCTCCTCCGTGCATTTGATTCTGGAATCCTGCAACTGGAAACAAGATAAAACCATTTAAGAAAAAGTGTTACTATGCTTTACAAAATTTTCATAAATTTCTATCTCTGCGTAGCCTATGAATCTTAACGCATCAATGAATGTATAATATATATTAACACAACATATAGGAAATTTTATCAACACAACATATATAAACTATTATCAAATATTTGAATTAGCTATGTTTATATTTAATTTCAAAGATAAGATGTCCTTACATTTATTTGTTTAAATGGTTAACTCAGTTTGGTTCCCTGACATAAGGTGAAAAGTTGAGAAATTCAAGCAAAATGGTTAAACAGAAATGCAGATTTGGTTACTAGTGGTCACTATTTCCCATAGTTGTCAAAATACAGTTGATTGCTGGAGAAAAGTTAGTTTTTTCTCTTGAAATAGAAAAAGGATACTTTTCTAATGTATATGATATTTCTAGAATAACTTTTATTCCCAGCTCTTCACAGCAAATCTCAAACTAATAATTATAGATGCATTGTCTTTTTAGTGAATATGTTTATAAAATTACTGAATATAATTTGCTCAGTTACATTCTTTAGTTTTTGTCATAGAAATATTTTTGCAAAACAGAATCAGGCTCTTTCATAATCCATTCAAATAATAATAAGAGATCATCAGATTCTCTTATGCCAAGATCATCTTCACATAACATACATTTAGCACGTTTTATATAATTGTGGCCTATGCTAGACCACTTAAGTGTGGCTTATCCTTGAGGATTTGCTGATGCCTCTTTCCCAACATGACCTGCTGGAGCTCAGGCTTCAGTCCTTTAGAAAGAAGCAGGGCCGTCTTGAAAACATAACTACTTTCTCTGTTTTTTTTATAAAAGTAGCTTTTTTTCAAATGGGCGATAGTGTGGGATGCTGGTCATCTTATTATACTCAGTTATGTGTGAAAATATTTTGCTTTGCATTTGTTTATCTGCCAATAGTATTTACAGTTAGGAATCAGGAAGCTCAGGAAGAGTGGTGGTCAGAAGCGAGGACATTACATTTGTACTCAAAAGCAATATGAAGAATGCTAAAGTATCAGTGTATAACATGCTTAAACTCTACCAGGGTGTCCATCTGGCAGAAGAGGTGCCGCAGGTTGGACACCCCTGCTGCACAGTGTACATGTTACCACTACAGGAAATAAATATTAACCTTGTGTGTTTAAACTCATAACTTATTTAGGGCTTTGCCGAAACTACCCTAAATCTCTAAACTGCACGTGTTTAAAAAGGACTACATTCGAGCCGCAATTTATGAGCCACGGAATGTTCTTAGGTCATGAAATAGCTGTTTCTTACTGGAATTTCCACCTGCACTTGGATCCCTTTTCAGACGAATGGGTCCTATGACGGCATCTGCCTTCCATTTGTATGTAGAAACGTCTCGCTTCCTTCTGGAGACACAGCCTTGGTTGCAGCGAGACTGGTGGTCACCGCTGTCACATATGAACACCTTGCACTGTAGATACATGGAGCCCAGTCTTCTCAGGAATTTAAACGCATTAAATTGGAATCTTCCATAGTGCACAGATAAAGGCTATATCTCACAAGTTTCATCTTGCTTACATCTGGAACAGAGTTTATGACACATTTAGAAAGTTTACAGAGATTCAGTCTTTCCAAACTGAAAAATGATACAGATTTTTCTTTGAACTGTCTAATCTGTGGATCTGGAAATCTTTCTAGAAAGGCAGTGGGTTGAACTCAGTACAGTGACTCAGACTATGGACCTGAATTCTGGGTAAGATGACGTTCCCTCCAGCTATTAAAATTCCCAGTCCGTGTGAAGTAATTAAAAAATCAATTCTGATTTACTAGAACTCAAACCCCTTACTTTACCTACTTGCTGTGAATGTGCAGTATGGTTAATGTAGTTAAAGTCCATCAGCTTTTTTTGGAAAAAAAACAAAACTTTCCCATCAAACTTTTTTTTTTAAATGCCACATAAACTTTACTGAATACATTATATTTATGTTCTAAACCTGGAACACATGAAATGATGATCTGGGTTTTCGTTCAAAATAACTGAAAGGTTAAAAGAAAAAAGCAAAAATATAAATAAAGCCGCCTTGACAAAAAATAAGTTTGCATCTATCAGCAAGTATTTTGTAAATATACTTAAAATTCTAGTGGATATGGTCTATGGCTGTAGAAATGTTTCAACCTAAATCAATTGTAACTAGTACATAATAACTTTTTTATAGAATGATTGACTTCATTAAATTCCATGGTAGTAGTACCAGAAAAACTTATATGAATTATATATACAGACACACACACAGTATTTCTTCATTAAAGTAATCCTCAGGAAAGAATGTCATATTTGAGTACATACCCGCTCTTGATTAGGTCATAGGTTGTGGATGCGAAGTCAGGCGTGGGCGAAGCCCTACAGGTGTCAAGAAATACCAACTTTGGGTCTGAGGTGTGTAGACTGACTTGAACGAAAAGATTTTTATTCAAATCCACATAATATGGTAACTCCAATATCGGCTTTTCAAATGAATTGGATTCAAAAAAAGCCATTCTGGTGTTGTATTTGCCCAGCACGTTCTGATTTTGTATTACGTCGTCTTCTGTTACGTACATCACCTCCGCGACAGAGGTGTGCTGCATCTCACGCTTGGCGACAATCTGCATGTGTCTCTGACGGGGGATCACTTCCGACGGTGGGGATGGAGTGAGGGTGATTGTATTGGTGTAAGTAATTGAATGATCTTCTACCTGCAGAACCAAACGGGATTCAGATGTCATGTTTTAAGTCCGGTGATATTTTAGAGCGTAGATGTGAATGACACTTGCAAGTAGGGACAGAATTTTCTTAAATCACAAGATAACGGCTCTTGTGTCAAAATACTGTGAAACTTAAATGGGTTTTATTTAAGAGACATTCTGGGTGAGAAGAAAAAGTGTGCCATGAGAGACACAGTGTGGATTAGAAAGGCTTGAAGAATTGGACAGACTTCTTTATCAGCTACATTAAAAACCATTTTGAACGTAGATTTCCAGGCCTGTGAGGACTTTGGACCCAAGAGCATATTGCCTTCCATAAGTGGCACCACATCACTGTGGCTAGTGGCGTAGTCTCCCAGGTGACCGCAGACCGAGGGCCAGGCTTGGGTTCTGTCCAGGCTTCCTTCCCTAGCGACTCATGCTGTCATAGCTCAGGTGTTCATTTTGGACAAAAATAATAATAATGATGATGATTTACTTCCATCCTTATCAATTCCTGTTGCTTAATGACTTAAGTGAAAAGTTTAGGGTATGTATCGTAAAAGGCTGAAAACGTTAGAGATCTCGAAGTTCTAGAATATGTAGAACAACTCACAAACATCCTTAAAATGAGGATCAGCTTTCTACCTTTTGTCTTTACAAGGGAAAGAGGAAGGTCATAAGAATACAGCTAGACTTTTGCTAAATGAGAGATGTAAACCTTTTCTAGGCAAGCATTACTAGTAAGCTGCTAGCCCTGCAGTGGATAGCTATTCAAACTCTCTCCAGTGAGTTTTCAGAGTTCTCTACCTTTTGGGAAAGAGAAGCACCATTTAGTTACCTGGACAATGAAGGCAGTAATTTGGCATTTGGGTATAAATTCGTGTGTGCACTTCTGTGTCCACACATGCTTACCATGCGCCAAACCACTAAGATTTGGAAGTTGTTCGCTGAGGCAGCCAGCAAGCATTACGCTGTCCACATCACCAAACCCACCTTTGGCATTTGACACAACCCAGCTACCAATGTTTCACTTTAAAAAAAAAAAAAAAGAAATACAATAAAATAAAAATAATACTTAAAAAATATTTCCCTTTACCTTTTTGACTGTACCGCATCCATCAAGAGGAAAAGAAAATTCCACCACATTTGATACTTTGGGCCTGCAAGTTGGGTCATTTAGCTGTAAGTTATTCTCATTGTATTTGAATGATTCCAGGTAGGATTTACTTATGATAACTCTCATCTTGTCAGAGGTGCAAGTTAAAGCAGCTGTCCAAAAAAAAGGGGAGGGGAGATGACCATGTTCACGTCAACTAGGAACTCTGGATCTCAAAAAGCTGTGTGTGGCCCTGGCTGGGGCAGCTCAGTGGATTGAGCACCGGCCTGAGAACCAAAGGGCTGCCAGTTCGATTCCCAGTCAGGGCACAGGCCTGGGTTGCGGGCCAGGTCCCCAGGTGGGGACACACAAGAGGCAACCACACATTGATGTTTCTCTCCCTCTCTTTCTTCCTCCCTTCCCCTCTTTCTAAGAAAATAAATAAAATAAATATATATAAAATGCTGTGTGCGCAGGAGGATATATAAAAACTCAAAACCTGTTTTGCCCCAAACTGTAATCAGAAGCCTGAGATAATGGAGCAATTGCTCTGTGTTTCAATGTTCACCATGGCCTTAGTTGCAGCTGGAATCCCTAAATCTAATATTTCTAACTGTGCTTTGCAGAAGGCATTCAGGAAACCAGGCCACATTTTCTGCAAAAATCTTTTTCAGGTTAATACAATCATTGCTTTCCTCTTGTACTAAGCAATGTACAGAACTGATTCTCAAGCTTCACACCATGAATATGTTCCAAAGTGTATATGGCCCTGCCATATCCTTGGGAACACATCTCAGGCTTGCCAACAGGGATAGCTCTTTGTAGGATAAGAATGAAGGAGCAGTTTCTGTGTACACAATCTTCAAGAGAGCTCAAACTAGCTAAGGAATGTGGCTTACTCGTGTTGACGTTTTCTGCATAAATTGAAGAGTAGGAGGCAGAGAAGCCCCGGTAGGAGTTGGCATAATCTGTAGATAGCACGACGGTCAATGAGTTGGATGAGGACTCGAAAGTGGGCACCACATGGCCACACACTTGTCCAATCAGGCCGCAGGTGGTGGAGGCTCCATCATAGACAGCGACAGAGTCAAATCTGCATTGTTCGTCCACTTCCAGGCTAGAGAAGCAGGGTTGCTGGTGAAAATGCTTGCCAACCAATTCAACTCTATGTTCCATAATCCCAACCATCCCAGTCTTAAGCGATGAAGGATTTTTTCTTGCAATGCTATCTCGGGTTTATGATGACAAACCTGGGGCTTCGCCAGTCCCTGACGTGACCTCAGAATCTTCCGAACAATAGTCGACTTCGTTTAATGCAATAGTATTTCTTTATACATCCCATTCTTTGAAAAGCGCCCATCTGTGGGGGGTGCATGTGATAATTTCTCTTCCCCAGGCCCCCCATCCCCTAGCCAGGTGGCCCCACTGCATTTGCTCCAGCAGCGGCAATGGACCACAGTACTTACAAAATCTCTTTGAAGTTTAATTTTATCTTGTAACCTTCCTCCACTTGTATGTGCCACACCCAGTAGGCCATCTTAGGGTATGGCTCTGGGTAGTTGGGGCTGGTAAAGGAGCCTTCGAGGGTGTCCAGGTACCCACCACAGTCTGGAATAGCTGCAAGGGATGCAAGGGTGACCAGGGGTGTAAATCAAAATCGAGTCTTCTTTTACTTTCTGTGTCGTGCATTAGTAAGAGCTTAATATGTCTCCCTGGAGTTTCATTGCAGCTCCCCCTGGGGAGCTGGTGGCATATTGAGATGCTCGCCCTTCTCTGTCACCAGAGGGTCTGCCCATGGGGGTGGGGCAGACGGCGCATGCCATGCTGCTGCCCAACGAATACTATTTAAGTCCCTCTAGGAGACCTGTCCCAGCTGCGGAGACCCTCCACTCCCTGGATGGAGCCACAGAAAGTAAAGTCACGCTCTGAGGACCACCGCTGAAGGCTCTTCCACACTTAGCCCCAGCCTAGCTTTCCAGTCTCCTCGGCCGCCACTGTGTGACCTGCTGGTCCAGCCTGTCCTTTCTCCCCACGTCCCCTCAGGCTGTTGGTCCCAGCAGACAGGGCGCTCCCCCTCCGGTTGCCCCTCTCCTGATCCTCCTCTCCCACTGCTCCAGCTCAGCTCAGAAGCAGCCTCGAGAAGCCACCGTGGTTCCTCCCTTCCCCAGAAGGTAAGCAAGCAGCCGGGCAGGGGAAACACCAAGATGCAACACCGAGGGCCCTTTCTAGGGGGGTGTAAATGGTTTAGGTTGGCTAAAGCACAGGATGCATGCCAGGCAGGGGCTGGAGGTCAGGCATGAAAAGGCTGCGGGGTGCGGCTTGGGGAACTGTGACTGCTCCTCCCCAGGGGTTCGTTAGCGCCGAGCACCAGCGGTTTAACAGGAGAGTGAGCCGTTCAGCTCGGGGCGTCGGAAAGGAGACCAGGGCGGAGCTCGGCCCGCGGACCGTCTCCCAGCTGCTGGGCGCCCTGCCGCGGCGCCACGCTGCCGGGGATGCAAAGCCGCGCGGCCGGGAGCCTCGCACTTCCGAGTAGCCTCAGGTTCAGAGGGGAGGTCAGGGATTCTCCGCACGAGCCTCGGCTGATCTTCTTTAGCAAGAATCACCCGGAGACTTGTTAAACTCGGGGATCTAAAGCCCTAACCGAGATCTAAAGGATCAGACCAGAGGGAGGAGAAGAGCTCCCCGAACAGGCACTGCAAGAGGTCTCAGGGTCGTTATGAACGGGCTCAACTTGGAGACTCTGCCTGAGCATCTAAGGCAGGAGAGCCCGACGGGGAGCCCTCCGACCAGCCCCACCCGTCCGTCTCACGGGAGAGCTGGTCAGCGAGGAAGTTCCTGGGCTCCACTCCAGGACCCACGTGTCAGGATCTCTGCGCGGTGGGGGCGGGGCGAGGAACCTGACTCCACAAGCCTCCCAGGCGATTCTCCCCAACAGCGGGCTGGGAGGGACTAGCCGTGGACGCGGGGCTCCTGCGCCCCAGGCGGGGCAGTGTAAGCTCCTGTGCTCGCAGCCGAGAGCCTCGGGTGTGTAAACGAGAACTCGCGAAGACGGTTCTCGGGATTCTTGCAGTCGGTGAGTCGTTGAAACGTCAGCGTGCTGGATGCTGATTCAAACACAGGAACATAGTCATTTTTGCTGCAGGCTCTCCCCAGCAGGGACCCCTGGGTGGAGTTCCCATCAAAAACGTGAACGTTTTCACTTTCACAGCCCCGCTGTGGTCAAGCCTGCCAACCGAACGCACCTGCGGTTAAAGAGCCACCAGCGGGAGGGCGTTCACCAGCAAGGGGGCGTCAGTGGTTCCCACGGGCGGCCCAGCTTACCACGGGCGGCCCTCCTGTGTTCCTTTACTGTCTCGGGGCCAAGCCTCCCTCAGCAGCAGACCCCGCCGGCCGCCTGTGGCTCAGGGGGCCGAAGGGCTCTGCGGGCGCGTTAGATCGCGGAAGTGGAACCTAGGACGCCTTCCCTTCTCCCGATTTCCATCCCTGCGGCTCCCCGTGCCCATGGGGCTGTTTGGTGTAGAACCTTCTTATGTGGAATTGAATCCCCTTTGTCATCTGATATCCAAGGCTGTTGAGGTGGAGCAAATTTTGGGAAATGGCCACCTCTCCAGGTAAAGCAGCTTGAGCATCTTCCTAGTTGCCCCTCCCTTGCCTCACATCACCCTTTGGTCAGGCAGCCCCGTGCCCTGTATTGGACAGGGCAGCCCAAGAGGACTGTTTTCTGTCCAATCTGACAGGGCCTCTCCAAATGCCCTCAGGGGACACATTTCCAAGGTGACGGAAAACCACAAGGGTAGACAACCTGAATTCCTCTTCCCCCTTAGTTACCTGCCGTGTAACTTTGGATGAGTGATTTAAGCTTTCTTGATTTCAGTTTTCTGACCCATCAAGTGGGATTATCTCAGCCAGCTTCATTCTATTGGTGAGGCTTATCATATTCCGAAGCACCTAGCACACGCCTGGCACACAAAGCTGTCCCATAAAAGCAAAATGTTCATTTCCCCCTGTACACACTTCTGTTCTCGCTTTCTCCTCTCTTCTAACACAGCAAAAATAGTGGATGTGTTTCTTAACAGCACTACCACCCCAGGAAATTTGAAAGACCCCCTTCTCTTTCATTTCTTTGGGGGCCACACACAAGTCAATTCCTGTTTCAGGGGTATAGGACCATGGCTTTCAGACGGGGCACCTTGGCCCGCAGCAGCATCACCTGGGAACTCGTTACTCAGGCCCCACCCACCCCATCTGAGCCCCCGCTGAGGTGGTTTATGAAACCCTGACACTCTCCAGTCTTAGAACCACTGGGATAGGGTGAGCTCCTAGAACAATGTGTCTGTCGGCATGGCTACATTTTAACACGGATGGAATGTAACTCTTGTTTATGTCAATTAGCCACAGTAAAATTGGCTTCATTATACATCACTTGGCTTCAAGTCATGGAAGCTATTGACGATGTTCAGTAAAAACTTACTATACTTGTTCAGTGGAGCCTACATGCACTGGGGCTCAAAATGATTTTAACGGAAGACCCAGGCTGGCAGCCAAGGAGAAAGTCTGGTTACGAGTCTTAGAAAATAAGTGCTTGGCTCTGGAGCCAGGGGGTCAGGATTCGAGTCCTCTCCCACTTTCATTACCATGTGACTTTGGGAACAGTTGGGAGACTGCTCCTGAGTGGAATTGGACTGCACCTGCCCCAGAGGGCCGCGGAGAGGACCGCCTGGGGCAGCCCCCGGGGAGCCAAGCCTGGGAGTGCAGCGCCCTCTCTCCGCGGGACGGCACACTGCTGTCACCTGGGCGCCATCAAACGCTTGTGAGCATACGTTCACTTCAAAATAAAAAGTTTAAAATTCAAGATAGAGAAGACCGATGCCTGGGTCCCACCCCCAGAACTGTGAGCTAATTGCGTGGGGTGCCGCCTGGGAATCTGAGTTTGCGGGAGCTCCCCTGTGGATTCTAACGCACAGCAAAATGCAGAACCGCGAGCTTAGTGCTTTCGGGCTGAGAATCTGGATCTAGACCGGCTGGGCCCGAACCCTGGTCATTCCACTGACTTGTGGTGTGGCCTGAGACAAGTCCCCCCCCCCCCCCCCCCCCGTCTGTGCCTGCAGTCCTTGCACTCAGAGAACGTTGATCTCAGAGAAGCCCTGTGACCAGATCCCGGGGCACAGACCTCCGTCAGGGACTGTCGGCCATTGTCATCAACATTGCCGTGAGAGCCACTGCCACCTCGAGGAGCCCTGGACTTCTTTCCTGCAAAGGTGCCCCAGTGTGGCCAGAGTTCAACCACCCACTTTAGAAAATGAAGCCCCTGCTTCCTGGCGGCAGGAAAAGATGACTCGGATGTTCTTCTTGTCTGGCCTTTCTAGCATCCAGGGGTAGTTCTCACTGGGACTGAGCTGCAGGACCAGGGCTTTGTGGCTCTCAGACTGGCTGGCATCTCCCAGGCTGGCCGTGCAGCTGGGTTTGCCTGGCGGGGACCATGCAGGTGGCATTGTGTGGCGGCGTCTGCCTCTTCCGGGGCCTGGGAATCTACCCGCCACGTGGGGTATGCGCACCGGTGTGCAGGCATTTGTGAATGGAATTTAGCTCACTCCAAAGTAACCCAGCAGTTATGCTGAGTTCCCGTTCTTGGGGCCCTTAGGTAGAAAGAATTTGTGATTTCTCTAACTACAGTGCATGAAAGAATAAAGAATATATTAGGGCCTGAAGATGATTTTAAAAAGAAGCTTTGTATCTAGAATATATAAAGACCTCTTACAACTCAGTAATTAAAAGGCAGCCCAATTAAAAATAGACAAAGGGCCAAAACAGAAGTTTCTCCAAAGAAGATATAAATGGCCAGCAAACACATGAAGAGATACTCAGTATCATTAGTCAACAGGAAAATGCACATCGAAACAACAGCAAGGTACCACTTCACACCGATTACGATGTGAAACAAAAACTGGAATCAAAACAGAAAATAGCAAGTGTTGGTAAGGATGTGGAGAAACTGGGACCCTTTGACACTTCTCATGGCACGTAAAATGACACAGCTGCCGGGAAACAGCCTGGAAATCCCTTAACAATTAAACATAGAATTGCCATAACTCAGCAATGCCACTTCTAGGCATATCCCCAAAGGACATGGAAACATATCTCCGTGCAAAAGATTGTGCATTAAGGTTCGTAGCAGTGCTACTCAAAATAACCAATGAGTGGAAACAACCCAAATATCCATCAGCAGATAAATAAATAAAATATGGCATATCCATACAATGGAATATTTTCCGGTGAGAGCAAGGAATGAAGTGGTGATATATGGCACAGCAAAAACCTTGTAAACGTATTGTATGATTCCATTTATATGAAATGTCTAGAACAGGTAAATCTGTAAAGACAGAAAGATTAGTGGTTGCCTTGGGCTGAGGACATTGGTGGAAAAGGAGAGTAACTGTTAACGGGCACAAGAGTTTCTTTTTGGGGTGATAAATGCTCTCGAATTAGTGGCGATGGTTGCACAAGACTATGCATATACTAAAAATCATGAAATTGCATATTTTGGAAGAGTGGATTTTATGGTATATGAGTTATTTCTCAATAAAGTTGTTATTAAAGAGGAGGAGGAGAAGGAAGGGGAGGAGTAGCAACATCTATAATTGAATGTGAACAAAAAAAATTGAATACTTCATAACGGAACGTGATTAATGGTTAAAAACTCCAGTTAGAAACAAAGGTTTTTATTTTCAGTTTTATCCATGACAGATGAGTGATATTCTTAGAATAGCTTTTAGTTTTCCCTAATAGTATAATATTGTTTATTAGTAAAGAAAAAGCAAACACAATTAAAGAGTATAATCTCATTCACTCAGAAACAAATAAAAAACTTCTTGTATATACTTCGTCATTTTCTCTCCTACTTGCTGATTTTTTGATATTCAAATGTGTATCTTTCATAGATAAGCACCATCGTATTTTACAAATTTCAGGTAGGTGTTTTCTTTTCCTTAAATAGATGCTGGGCACCTTCCTTGTAGCTCAGTATTACCTTTAAGAAGTTGCCAAAGATTATTCCTTTGTTGCATTCACCATACCTTACAGAATAAATGTTGGAAATTTACATTGTTTTTTATAATTATGGCAATGCACAGAGCACATACATTTGTGCACTTACATGATATTGCCTAAATATTAATTATTAGTAGTGAAATTACCGGGTAAACTTTTTTGTGCTTTCATTTTTGTGTTTGACATCATATGGGCCTGAAAAAAAGTTAGTGCTCATTCTAAATCCCATCAAAAGCATATTTGTAAATATTCTGCTTTAGGGCTATCAGCAGGTATGAGATGTTTAAAAACTTGGGGTAGAGGCTTCTTGAAAGGATTTCTCCTTTAATTTGATTTAAAAAAACTAGTCCAATTTCCTTACCTTCAGACTTGCTCACATTAAACTCTGCCAAACTTAATACAATGAAAAGGGTCAAGGGGATGAGCCTCCTGGTGGCCTCCATCTTTGGAAGGGGCGGGACAGCCTAAGGGGCTAGCAAGCTTTTATATGTCTCTCTCAGGCCGACCTGCTTTCGTAAGCTGCCTGGTGACCTTTGGGGAAATGTATCAGTTTGACCGTGCACAGGACAGATTTATGTGAGAACATAGTAGCTGTGCTGTTTAGTATCAGCACCCCTTAAGTGTTTGCTCTTCCCAAACGATTCCCCAGGGCCCAGTGGCTAGTGCCCAGCTACATCCCTTGCCAGGGGACTCCAGCACCTGGGGCACAGTGGGCACTGGGCAGTCCCTCCTGGCACTGATTTGGATTTGGGCCTTTGCCCTGTGATTTGTTCAGATCACCAAGCGGGGGACATCAGTGGCACCTTAAGGCTTCGCGGCTCTTCCCTGAACACGAAAGCCTTTGGGGGTCTGAAGAATCAAGCTGGCAGGTGGGTGGCACAGGGGCCAACTCCAGGTCCAGCTAGATCGCTCCGAAGCCTGCCAGGTGGCTGACACTGAGGGAGAGAAGGAGGTGGCACAGGATGGGGAGGAAAGGGAAATAAAGGTGCGGCTTCAGCTTCCACGGATTTCTAGCTGGTTGTGCCTAGAGAGCCTGGAACAGGTGAATTCAAGTCCTGCAGGCAGTGTGTTAGATGAGAGAAAGGAGTCCTGGTGTCCCAGGTGAGGCCAGTGCTGCAGAGGCAGGGCCAGCACCTGTGACACTCCTTCATTCAACTACTCTTTAACTCCATGAGAAACACAGTGCCTGACCCCATGGAACTTATTCTCTAAGTAGGGGAGACAGACAACAAATGAAAATAAATTACAAATAGTGAAAGGTGATATAAATATAATGAGACTGCTTGGAGGGGAGGGGAGATGCAATATTAGGGTGGGAAGAAAAGCATCCTGAGATGAAATGTGAGCACACACAGGAAGACACACATGCATGATCTGGGCTGGAGAGATGCATTTTAGGCAAAAGAACGGCAAGTGCAAAGGTCCTGAGGCAGGCACCGCCTGGGAACATCTGCAAGCCAAGGGAAATCTGGAAAGTGCGGTGGGTGTGAGTGAAGGGGAGGGAGGTGGCAGATGAGGATGAAAAGGAGAGACAGGTCATGATCAAATGGTGAACGTGTAGATCAGATGAGAAGTGTGGATTTTATCCTAAATTCAATTAGAAGTTTTGAGCAGGAAAATGGCCAATTTTTAAAGAATCTTCCCAGCAGACCTGTGAACGTAAAGGTGAGCATAGACTCGGTCCTCTAGGTTGGGACCCTTCCTGGTTGTCCTCAACCCTTGTGCCATGTACTGACTGTCCTCATGCCCAGAGCCCCTCAGGGGGCTCTAGAACATTGAGGCTGGAGAGGGCACAGGCCTATACTGTGTCCCAGGGGAATGTGACCCAGGTTGGGTTCCTGGACCAGGTGTCTGGGCCCACGCCCAGCGATGCAATGGCAAGGCCAACACCTGCGTCACTGAGTTGTGTTCCTGAGGACCTGGGACGTGGACCAAAGTACCTACGTAGCTCCACTCAGGATCCTGCTGGTGACGAGAGAAAACTGAAGCTCACATAACACCTGAAACAAGGCCGGAAGCAGCAGACTCCACAAGGAGAAAGTGCCCCAGGAACTCTCAGACTGGTCACTTCCAGCTGGAAGGTCCCAACGCAGGCTCCAGGGAAGATCTAATTTCTTCTTCCTGAACTCGTCTCTTACAACTTCTACTGGGGCTGCTCTATGAAAGCATCTCCACTCCCACTCCCCTTCTGGCAAATTCCACCACAAAAAAATACTGAATAGTCCCTCGCCAGCCAAGCTCTCTGCGTCTCAGCCAGGACGTGCCACTTCCAAATGCGTAGTGCCCTCCTTCTTCACTCCCCGCCAGCCTAGAGGTAGCCGGGGTTCCCTGTATCTATTCCCGCTCTTTTTCCACCCCTTTACTAGGTAACCAACCACCTGTTACCAGTTAATTCTTTACATTCAGTAAAACACGCTCACATTTGGTTCATGAGGAAATGCACTTATTGCGGTTACAGAGGGTGAGTGTGCGAGGAGGAAGGGGCTCCGGATGGCCCAGTGGAAGGAGCAGAAGCAGGAGGGAGCCACCGCGCAGAAGTCGGGGGGCGGGGGGGAAGGCGGGGAGGGCCCATTGCTGACTGCTGGGCTCAAGAGACACTGGGCTTTGAGAGTTTGCTAGGAACCAGCGAAGGTTCCTATTAGCAGTAAAAGGTGCTGGCAGATGAGGTAGCAAAAATCCACGTTAAAAAGTAATACGAGGAGGAACTCTTAAGATCTGGAACCTCAGGTTTTCTAAAACGTCCTTTGACATCACAGAGCTCAGCCCCATTGCTACACAGGTCAGGCAACCTGAACTCAGAGGGGTCCCAGCTGGCTGTTCTCTCCCGCAGGTGCATGCAGTTCCCCTTTGGGACAACGGAGCGCACCTGTGCGCCGCAGAGTAGCTGAGAGAGAGTGGATGAAGCCCCAGAAGGGGCGTCTTGAACCAGCTGCTCCAGCCCGGGAAGGTCAGCTGGGTCTGAAACGGGAAACGCTCTAAGATCGATATAATTTTCCTTTTGAGGCTGGAGATGTGCTCGATGTTTCTATTTTATACTCTCACTCTCCTTATATTGCAGACTAATACTACAAGCTTGTTGCTTCAAGTCCCAAAGTGGGTAATACACAAAGTTAAGTACATTTATAATTAACAGCAATAAAACTACCAGAGGCAGAGAGGACTATCTTCAATACTGCATTTATTCACAATTATATAAATACGTTATATAGTACATAATTTAAACATGATAAAACTTGAATAAAAAAATAGTCTACTAAGAAATACGTATTGCTCATGAAGATATTTGTGCCCACCAAGTCAGAGACCCTCGTTTACATCACAGAAGCATGGCGGCAGGGAATCAAAGTCCGCGTACAAGTTACAGTCGTCACAGCACTGGAGGTTGGAATAGGACCCAGCAGTTACGGACGTGCCTGCGGTGATGTTGTCCGGGGTGATCCCGAGTGGATTACTTTTTAAGGTGAAACAAACAGGTGACTTTGAAGCTCTTAGAGAACACAGATACACACATGGGATTAGACTTTTCTTCTCAGTCCATTTGTTACAATTGTCAAGGGGGTCTGGGAAGTTTAGGGCTGGAGCCAACCAAACATGCACCAGCCTGAGGTGAGAGCTCTCTGCCCCTGTCCCAAGTTCCTATCTAATTTCTTCTTCCCCTCCGATTCCTAGAAATGTAAAATCGGATTACAGCAAAGAAGGGAGAGTGGAGCGCAAGCGTGCATCACCCTGCGGATAACCGCAGGCCCGCTCCGTGCGCTCCGTGCGGAGCAGGATGGGGAAGGTGCCACGGCCAGCTGTTCCCCAGGTTCTGGAAGCACCTTCTAGCTCACAGGTAACGGGCTTGCCTTCCCTGGATGGGAACATCACTTCTTCTGACAACGAATCTCTCCCATTTTGAAGGGTCCTCTCCCCCGGATTTAATGACGTGTCTGACCTGCACTCCTTTCCGGTGTCCCCCAGGACCTTCACACAGCTCAGCTTCCTCCAGCCTCCCAGGCCCGTTGCACTGTCCCCGAGGCCACGGACAATGAGCGAGGGAGCGCCCTGAGAGCCCCCAGCGCAGGCAAGGGGAGACCGCCTCCGCCCGTCCTCTGAGGGACCCGGAGGCAGAGGCTCGGTGCCGAGGCCTGCCCCGCGGTCTCCCCTCTGCGGTGCCTGGCGGGGCACAGGGAGGGCTGGCCCCTGGGCGGAGATCGCCCGCTGAGGGTGGGCTCTGTGAGGTCAGGGGACAGCAGGGAGCGCTGGCAGGCAGAGCCGTCTGCAGAGAGCTCTCCCCTGTGAGCTCACACCCCCTGCCAGGAGGGGGAGAAGCCAAGATTCTATACTCACCTGCCTGTGCCTTTTCAGACCTGCCCGCTGCCCCGACCTCCGCGGGAGTGCGGCCCCAGAGCAAGGGTGGCCCCGCTCAAGCAGAGGGCCCCAGGTGTCCCATGGGAGGGGTCTCATTCACTTTCACCCACGCCACTCACTTTAATGCCTTGGCCACCTTGCAGTAAAGCAAGATGATGACGCCTACCAACAGGAACATAGCCGCCAGGATACCGCCGCCAATGCAGAGCGTGAGTACTGCGTGGATCTTAGAAGGCTTAGATTCATCTGGGCAGAGAAGTGCAGGCAGGCAGTGAGCACAGCCTCCCTCCCCGCCGCCGCCACACAGCAACCTCAGTATGCGAGGTCGGAAGAACGAACCCCAAACTGCAGAGTCTTAGGCATGTAAAACACAAGTGAGCCTTCCCTGGGAGGCTGGGGAGGCTGCCCTGGCCCACAGAGGCAGACGAGGGCTTATTTGTGAACGAGAGGTATCAAACGCAAAGTCCGGAGAGGAGGAAGGAAGGAAAGCCGCAGAGCCTCCTGTCCCTGTCACAGGCAGCAATGGGCAGCTAGGTGAAGGTGACCAACAGGCCTGCAGCTGGGCAGATGGTTTTCCTCCCAAACACCTGGGCCTCGTAAAATGCGTTCCCTTTCAGAGCAAGGATTAACCCCTCACTCACTGTACATAAGATTTAGACATCTTCTATGGGAATGAGTAAGAGAGTAACTTTTTAAAAATGTTATATTCAACAATAGTGGGAATCTACAAATCCATCTTGTGATATATGTTTTATGAAATAAGTTTTCAATTTTCCCACTGACTGCCCTTTTCCTTCCTAAATCCTAAAGCTTCCCAGGAAATCCAATTTGTCTGGAACAAGCAGTTTGTGTAACCCACCTCCCTGAAACTCGGTAAAAGCAGGTCAGGAAAGAAACAACCCGCCGCCAAAGCATACTCACTGTCTAAGTCTTCATAGCTGGACGAACACCGGCAGTTAAACACAATCAAAATTAAAATGAACTTCAGGGAGCAGTAGTACATCTTAGCAGGAAGTTCTCAAACCTTTAACTTGAGAAAGGAGATTCGACTTGTCCTCGTCAGGAGTAATTAGGATGGGAGTTTGAAGAGCTC